TGTTCCCTTAACATAATGTGGTCATCATATTTTAGATGAGTAATCAAAACTAGAATATAGGTTCGGGAAAAAAATTATGTATAATTTCAGACGAAACCGAAAGTCATATTTCATTTTGGATAAAGTTACATACAATCACACGCAAACCAAGAGTTATTCTAACGGTTATGTAGAACCAGGCGCGTACGCAGGGGGGGGGGGGGGGGGGGGTATGTGTGTATTTTAGAGAACCCCCCCCTTTGCTTTTGTTTTTTTAATAAATAAAACAAATATGTCCTCTTATCCCCCCCCCCCCCCCCCCCTGCGTACGCGCCTGGTTCTACATAACCGTTAGAATAACTCTTGGTTTGCGTGTGATTGTATGTTTATCCAAAATGAAATATGACTTTCGGTTTCGTCTGAAATTATACATAATTTTTTTCCCGAACCTATATTCTAGTTTTGATTACTCATCTAAAATATGATAACCACATTATGTTAAGGGAAAAAAAACGAGCGCCTTTTCACAGCTCAAAATGATGCTGACCCCCTTCAGCAAAGGACACAAATTTGTTTATGCTTCTATGAGCTTGTGTTAACATATTATAATCAAGATCAATATATTCTGACGAAGGTGTACCCCCACACTTAGTCAGCGGCTGGCTGAGTCGTTGCGGAAATTTTGGCCCGATTTAAAAATGTTAACCCCCCCCCCCCCGCCCCTTGAAAAAGCCTGCGTACGCTACTGTGTAGAACACAAGGGGAAATATTTGATATCAAATGACATTAAACTTCCGTGCGCTAATATAATAGGCCTACTAGTCTACTCACAAGTCGCTCATTCCTTCGTAATTTTGACAATTACATACCTAAAACTCTTTAAACAGAAATCGTACAGAAATATCAATATCATTACACGCTCTTTCTGTTTCTAGTTATGTTGAAGTGGTAAAAAGTCGCGAATTAACATGATTAATGTGATAGAATGGACAACATTTCTGAAGTAGGCGTTCTCGTCTTACGCTCGTATGACCCCCTCTCTATCCATCACCCCCCCCCCTTCCAATTTTTAGAAAAATCAGCCTTTACTTCAATTACTTGTGGCAAATAGTTAAAGCGGCAATAAAATAATAAACAGGTAATCATAACGCAAGAATTCCCTTCATATCAATATAAAAGCTGGCCCATTTCGTGCACGATAAGTATACATATCGATCGTAGACTAGTATAGTATTGCTCACATATTGAGAAGCTCATACGATACTGTAACGATACAACTCTAAAAACTGTTTCACAAGTTATGCTGCAGATGCATATTATTGATCTGCCAAGAATGAAACTTTAGTGAGTTATATTTATCACAGAAATTAATCATATAATCAATTGATGTAAGACATCATTAGGACAGAGCTGATGGCAACGCCAAAGTGACGTAATCTTGAAAATTGGAATTTTAAAAGATTACTCTGCCTAACTGAACAAGTGCGTGCTTGGTGTGTAACACCTGCGCTCCCAGCTTGTAGTAGTGTCTAGTGCTCCGTGTGATCGTGGATCAAGCATTTCTCTAAAGCTACAGACGGCAAGGGACGTGCTCTAATTGGCTGTCTTAATGATCACGTGATTATAAGCTGGCACCAAGGATACACTGTAAAAAATAATTTGTTCATTGGTAATTTTTACGTATTTTTTCCATGTAGAATTTACCTGTAAACATTAGTTTTGCCACTTACGCACTAAATTTAAGTCTTGCTAACTCAAACTTTCAATTTAGTAGAACATACGTGGAATATTTAAGTAAAATCAAATACATAAGAACTTTAAGTAATTTCAGCTTGTATTAGTTTAGTAATTTTAACTCAAAATCAGAAATTATACGTATTACTCAAACAATTTATGTTGATTTTTCTTATCTTTTTAAAGTAAGGACCGATGCAGTGCGTAATAGAAATATTTACATAATATATGAATATTCATTAAGACCAAATTAAACTCTTTTTTAAATAAAACAATTTTTTTTTGTGGTTGAATGAAAATTTAAGGACTTTAAAACATTTACTAATTCATTTAACATGGCTAAGCAAAGACAAGACAATTTTTAATTGTTACCCAGTTCAAAACAAATAAAAACTTGATATTTCAGGAAATTGTCAACCAATTTTCCTTTTAAGATGCTACGATCAAGTATATATAAAATTTGGAGCCTTTCAATATGTGTCGAATTGAAGCGTATGTAATAGTTTGTGATGGTGGTAGATATATATATACGGTTAAATCTTAAATAGAAGTAGTGAATGATTAGTGGATGTTACTTGTTAGATTAGATGGGTACCAAATCGTGCAATATGTAATCCTATCATAACTTTTTTTTAATTATCTAAAATGATTACAATACTTAAATTATTTACGTTAATGTAACTCGATTTAACTGAGTAAAAATGTATTCAGCAAAATAAGTAAATTCTACTTAAGATGCCGTAGGTAATATTTACTTAATAAAAATAAGGCAATTCTTTCCTCAATTTTATTGAGTTATTTCGACTATTATTTTTTTTACAGTGTAGGCGACCTACGATGCACCGTGGTTTACAATGTTAGGTGTAAGTAATTCACAGACTAAAATTCGGTATGAGAGCCGAATGACGAAGAAGGATATTAATAGGTACAGCTTATAGATAATGCATCCCACGAAAACTCAGGGCGCCTACGAAGGACATGTCCTGCTATAATTGTATTATATTGAATTTTATTGTATTGTATTGTATTGTTATGTTGATGATAATAATAATGCTAATGCTAATAATTATAATGATAAAAAGAATAATGATAATAAATGAGGTTTGTATAAAGGCGTCAATGTTTTTGTGTTTTTGTTGGATTGTATCGGATTGGATTAGTTCATTGATAGCAAAATCATAAAATATGCAGTTAAAAATATCATCATATATGCATCGTTATTGTCATCATCATCATCACCATCATCCTCATCTTAACAGTCATAACCATCACTACATTAATCATCGTCATCATTTCCTTTATAAGTACTATCATTACTTTCATCTCATCATCACCATCATCATCATCATAATCATCACCATCATCATCATCACCATCATCATCATCATCATCACCATCATCATCATCATTATTCATCACCATCATCAACATCATCATCAACATCACCATCACCATCACCATCATCAACATCATCATCATCATCATCATCAACATCATCATCATCATCATCATCACCATCATCACCATCAACATCATCATCATCACCATCATCACCATCAACATCATCATAATCATCATCACCATCACCATCATCATCATCATCATCATCACATGCAATTTCCTAACAGTTTCTAGGGTTTGCACAAAATAAGACCCCACAACACCGACTTCAATTTCCCATGGCTTTTTCATTATTATTTGCATACGTATGTGAAAAAAATACTGGCATAACTTGTAGCTTTTAATTATGTACAAATACTCACGAAAACATGTACAAGGCTTTATAGAAATTCTACAATAACTGCCCTATACAATCAATCTTAAACCAGTTAGAAAGGATAAAAGCTGTACACATAAACATAATGTACTATAAAAATAAAAAAAACCTGTACATATCTGGCATTGTATCCTCCCTGCGTATATCATCTTATCAAAGCATACACATTTGAGTCATGTTTGATATACAAAATCTAGTTGTTTTTCGTCAAAATGAGACACACAACTTAAATAACCTATATGCAATTATAACATGTAGTTTTTAGCTTCTACCAACCTTAAATTTGTTATGCAAGCTTTTATATGCAATTATTCTTTAATTTGTCATAAAATTTGTATAAACGACATGCCAATGGAGTAACAGTGAATAAAGACTATTGCATACATATTCAGAGTTTTTAAATATCACTGATGCCTGCTATTGATATCAGAATTGAATAGTCAAGCTTCCCTATTCAGTGATGCCATGTTAGAGAATACCACGTTATGACTAATAGATGAGGGAGACAAATTCGGTGGACGCAGGGATTGCTTTTATTTGGAACGCGTTTCGGTGTTGGCATTTTGTTATATTTTGTGGGGGGGATGAAACAAATTTTAGACAGGTGTAATGTCGTGGAAGCAGGCTTAAACAACTTCATTTATATTTCTCGTATTTTCGTCAAATTAACTGTTTTTATCGTCCCCATTGCATTAGATCTAGATGTACACATATTTCACACAATACAGTATATATTTGGCTCTTTGAATTATTGTGTCCCGTTTTATGTTGACTATTGAATCGTTATTTAGTTTCCCTTTCTCTTGTGCATTGTAGGAACTTTACAGGACTGCAATGCCTTAAACTGAGTTTGACCGTATTGTTATTTCACATGTCAAACGGACGGTGGGGCTGCTGGGGCATTTTTCAAAGTGTGTGTGTGGGGGGGGGGTACCCCAAAATGGCACTTTTGGAATGAAGGGGCGCATATACCTGCAAAGAGTAATCTGAAAGCGAAAAACACAACTTTTACACTTTGGTAAATACTTCCCCATTGCAATTAATACAATTATCAAGAATCATCTTCAAGATGTTAACGTTTTCGTACATGGTCCAAGATATTGATTCAGCATCATGCTTTGCAGACTTGTGCGATGTTCTGAAGAATCAGATTTGTAAATTAAAATTGAGACCGATTGGATCTAGGAAGAGGATATAACCTATCCCGATTGAGTTTTCAGTATTATCTCTTGATGAAGGAATGACTAAGTCATTTTAGGTAATTTGTAGATAGCCTATAGCCGCTACAGTTAGATACTATTTGTAAAGCGCCTGGAGACAATGTCGATCGATGCAATTCAGCCTAACATAAACCAAGAATATTATTAGTTAAGCGTTGGTCAACCAGTGGATATCTTGTCAACTTTTGGTGTGGTATTTCAACGTTGCTCTGAACCCCCACACTCCCAAATTTGCACCTTGTAATTTATTTACACTCCCCCCCCCCCCCTCTTACGACCATGTTCTGCAGGAAATGAACGATAAGTCACGGACCATCTTCGGATCCCATTATGATGAGGCGAGAATCGTGAGTGAGGTGTGCTCTTGGAGGCGAGATACCACCTGGCCTGTGGTGACCAGGCGATCCATTGACAGATTCAGAGACCTAGAACGAGAGTCAGGTATAAGGGAACTTTCACTTCTATAACAATTTTCCGAATGAGGCCATGCAGTGCCGCCCACCAAAAGAAAAAGAGAATAGGGGAGATAATACGTATTGGTCGTCTGCTTGTCATATTAAAGCCGATACTGTTTAAACGATTTTCAGATTATGAGGGCAATAATGTTGTTCGCTGTAAGGACTTCTCGCCAAATATGGAACATTTTGTTTAATTCCGATGGTACTTATCCACCTCCTGACTGTAGAACAGACATATATTTCAATATACGTTATATAATTTGTACTTGTCAGTTTAAGATTCAATTAAGATGGTGAAACTTGTGTAAATAACATGGCTCGTTTTCTTTTTCATTAAAATGCAGGTATCAACTTCTATCACGAGGTAGGATGTGTATTCAAGGCACCCAAAGAAGTAGTCACCAAGGTCTTCAAGTCGCTGCCACCGGGAACTCCAGCGACTTCGTACAGGCCAAAAGGCATCCAGAATGTCTTGCCATACCTTAAATCAGACGATTTCCATTCGCTCCACGAAAGTGCCAAGGGAGGTTACATGAACCCGCGAAATTACATCCTCGCCAACAAGACAATCGCTCAACGCAACGGTTGCGATATCGTCAATGAAGTCGTCTGCGATGTTGACGAAAGGCGGCAACCGGGCGCGGATGCGTACGTGCTCCTGACGATCAAGCGAAGTCGCGCTGTCATCACGGCTCGTAAGGTCCTGCTCTGCACGGGAGGGTTTATAAATTTTGAGCGTCTCTTACCGAAGCCAGCATTGGAGATTGACATCGACCCTTTGACGGAGATGGCGGTACTGATCGAGTTATCGAGAGAAGATGCAGAACGTATGTCCAAGATGCCGTCCATTCTTGTGTTCATACCAGGTGCCAAGGATCCTAGGAATTCGTACATTCTCCCGCCAGTTAAATATCCAGACGGTAAGAGCGATCATCATTACATTCTTAGGTGTACAAGGCGATGGATCGGGGATCGGGAGGGGCTACATCTACAGCCCCACCCTCGAAAATTAAAATCCAATATTTAGGCAATCATCACTTCATATTCCGACAGCGAGTTGTTTATATCGTATCTTAGTCCATTTTTATTGACAAAATTAATGTACCGACAGTTGATAAATTATTATCGAATTTCCCACTTCTTTTGCTTGCAATGTCTAGAACAGCCAATTTTAATGATTATGATGATAATGGCAAAAAAAAAGGCAATATACACAAGTCATGTTAGGTATTCAAATGTCTTGCAACAAACTTATGATTCAGCTATAATATCTTCTAACTCACGACCATACCCTAAAATGTTTCACCCGCCTGCAGACACGAAATATATACATATTTTTGTTTTATAGGGAAGTATTATTTGAAAGTGGGTCATGACTACGACCTCAATCGGCCGATGAGATCGAAGGAAGAGGTAGCATCCTGGTACCGCGCCAAAGGTCAGAATCGCCTGGAAGATTTCAAGAGCATTTATCTACGTATCTATCAGTCGGTTACAGGTACACGTATTTTTCATGATAATAATAACGTTGATAATTATAATAATAATAATTATAGTAATAATCTTGTGGGCAGGTACAGAAGCAAAGGTGGAAACATTTAGGCAAATTCCATCCAACACCCTTCCCCTCCTCCTAAACAAGGTTTGTAACGCCCTTGGGCCATGGTAAAAAAGCAAAATCATGATAGAAAAATTATTGAAAAATGTTTCCTTTTGCTATAATCATTTGTATAATACAGTGTATGTGGAATTTGTACGTCATGTGCTTCCAAGTAAATTTCGTACTTCGTATAGTCTCCAGTGTTCTTCATTTTGCACTTTGTTGACAGGATTTCATCCAAAATCCCTCAAAACCATAACATGCATCACCACGGAGACCCCGACCGGTCAGTACTACTGCGATCTGATCACTCCTACTATCGGTGTAGCAGCGGGTGGGAACGGTGGTGGAGCTATGGTGGCCGATGAGATTGGTCGCACGGCAGCCAAGATGATCCTCAAGGGAGCCTGGGACTCTGATCTACCCCAAGACGAATTCAGGGTCAGATGGAGAACACGAGAGGGCGTCACAAAAAGTCAGCTGTAGATATTCATCTTGTAGCAAGTAGATTTAAAGGCATCGTTTAACAATGTTAGATCTGAGATGCACGGCCCTGCGTGCTACCAGCGTCTGTGATATGGTGTAATATTGAAGCCCTAAAAAAAAATCGCGCTTCAAAATGATCAAGAAGTGCCTCAAAAAAGTAAAAATCTTTGAGTGACCGGTTTTACCATATTCGTTTTCCCCAATAGACTGTTATGAAAACTGTTTGGCAAACGCAAAATTTGGTTTCGATTTCGAATCATAAATATCTTGATAATCAGACAGGTGATCGGCTTGTAAAAGTCATGGAGTTCCTGTCTGACCTAAAGGATTATGATTATCATTGCAGCATGACCTACATCCAGGATTTTGTTTACCAGATCCCTTTATGGGGTGATCCGACATACTCTTCGGCGACGAGTGTTCAGGGCTTTATTTCTTCAAAAGTATAGGATAAGGAACTGTTAGAGTTTGATATTGGGTTTTAGCTCAGGTTTATGGTTAGGGTAAGGGTAGTAAGGTATTGTTTCGGCCCAGGGTTTAAACCGGGGTTTAAGTTAAGAATTCGGGTTGTGTGGGAAATCATCATGGAGATGTTTTCACAGGAACATGAGTCATGAATCCACTTTGTGAATACAGTATGACATTTTTCTATACAATAATAAATGAACGTATAATTGCAAAATGATTTGCCATATTTGCTCGTGTAAGACATTCCTAATTTATAATTGCTTCATTTTGTTGTGTAAGTAACTTCTTTTTATAGACATCTCTTGAATCAGTTACGTTTAAAGACTGACCTTTAAGGTAACCATCATAAAGACACACTTTAAACCCTAAACCCAACCTTAACCAGTTTCGGTTTCTCTTGAAGTTTTCTACATCTCACTCCTTGTACCTCTCTATTATCTCTCAACGTTTCTCCTATATTTCTGTCTCACCCTCTCTCTCTCTCTCTAATTCTGTCTCTCACCTCTTCTCTTTATTGATGACATTATGTGTCAAGATGGAGAGACATTTGTAATTTTTTGTCGCATTGTTTTTCCGAAGGAAAAGAATTGTGTTCTTGATAGTTACGGTATATAAATCTTTTCCAACATGTCGGAAGATCCACAATGGGAACGTTAAGCTTTCATAAAGACTGTTATAATGCAGAGCAAGTTTATTGAAGAACACTGGCTTTTTGGTTATTTCATTTTTATTTCTCAAACGCTTCAAATTGGTTGCAAATATTTCATTATTTAAAATGTGATTTTGAAAATTCAAACGATACTTGTGGCTTGTTTGGTTTACACTTCTTGCCTTATGTGTATTTTCTAGGTCTGTAATTCAATCATCAAAGTGTTATTTCAAATTAGGCTATAAGCAAATTTACATGATGTTATTTTCTGTTCAAGCATTTGAAAACAATATAAAATATTAGTTCATATAATATGTAAGAAGTACTAATTCCTGTGATTAAACCTCTATATAAAGGTTTCTGAGATGTATTCATATATTTTAGATTGACATTGTTCCGAATATTTCTTGACATCCTTTTTATCATCTTGAAAGGCAATATATATAATTCTGCTCTTTTCGGCTCCAAATGTTTTTTGTGCAATTTAAACACAAAACTGAATGTTATAATAAACAAATTTAAAATCAAAATGTGTGTGTTTTTTTCAACGTATGTTCTGTTCTTTATTTTTTTTTATTACTTTGCATTCCAATTGGGTAACAAGAACACAATCTTCTAATTTCATCCCTCAGGCAAACCAACTCTAAATCGACTGGTTCTTTGGCCATTTGGAGGTAATGTAATTTTTAGTCTGGTATTAACATAATCACGGGCTCGTTTTTATCAAATATTAGTAATTGTGCAACGCTTGGAACATGAGAGGAAAATAAAATACCCCCACACATAATTATATCCCCTTTCAAAATGGAGGTACATGTAGTTCTCTAAACCGTTTTCGTTTTCGAAAAATCCTATGCAAATATTTTATGACTTAATCGAGGGCAGGCGCGTACGCAGGATTTTTTCAAGGGGGGGGGGGTTAACATTTATAAATCGGGCCGAAAAAATCGCAACGACTCAGCCGACCCCTGAATAAGCGGGGGAGGGGGGGGGGGGGGGGGGTTGGAAGGGGGCGGGGGTAAGAGGACACTTTTTTCTTTTTTTTTGGTCTCGAAATTTGAAAATTTTACATTTTGCTCCGTTGGGGGGGGGGGGGGGGTAAGGTCAGCTTTTTTAGGTCAGCCATGGGAATATTTTTTTTATTATTATTTTTTTTTTTATAAATGATAATTTAAAAAATCCAAAAATCCAAAGGGGGGTTAGGGGGTTATGGGGGGGGGGGTTTACACACAGAAAAATACCAAAGGGGGTGTTTAACCCCCCCCCCCTCCCCCTGTGTACGCGCCTGATCGAGGGTGACAACAGACGAGGGACAGGGGGCATGCTCCCTTCGGAACCACACCTCCACACGCTTATAGGATCAGTTGACACCCTTTTAGGGATAAATCTATAGCCAAAGTGGCAATGAGACAAGTGCCCCTCCCAATGAAATTCCACCTACCCTATTTAACCAATAGGAAAATAAATTTTCCATGTAGCTTTCTCATCGTCAAAAATTCTACTTATCCAAGAAAGTCGCAGAGAATCAACTTTTGCCTGTAAGTCAATCATGCCTAAACGAAACCACCTTTAGTAATTTTATTCAAACATACAATTCTTGTTATTTTCTCTTTCTTAGAGCCCCATAAAAAATGAAAACATCATCATCTTATTAATTATTTTTTAAACAAAGGATAACAAAAACCAAAATCATAGTGAAACTAAGTTAACTGAGTGCAAATTCAAAATTACAATAAACTGAAATATAGCAAAAACTCGGTACTATATCACAGGGCCCTTGGGGAACATACATGCATTGCTCGTAATACTTGTTACAATCTTAATATTCAGCGTGGAAAATAAATATGATAACAATTGGCATTTTATGTGAATAACGAAACGGAACAAAACAAAAAGATATATTTATCCCGAGGAAGAACCCCCAAGCCCCAAAATTTTTTATTGACATTTCCCAAGCACTTCAGAATTTATGGTAAAACTCCTTGTAAATGATGTAAGCTCCTAGAAAGGATCGAAATCCGGATCTCTAGTATAACATTTAGAGCCTTCTCCAATGTGTGACAGTTCTCCCAATATATATTGTATACATTATCTTTACATGGAAAATGAATAAGTGCCTTTTAATGCTGATATGATGATTCCTAATTTTATCATGCTGTGGTTGCAGTTTCTTCCCGTTCTCGATCACCTTTATACCTCAGATTAAAGAGCTCTGCTGGCAGGTCATGGTTCCAAGACCCCTTTGCGATCATCAGTGCGCCCATTCTTCCGACCTCGTCGGCGACGAACGCACCCATTCCGTTGCCGCCGACGATCACACCGAGCTTCGACGTCACCATGTCGCAGTAGAATCGTTCCGTTGGCGTAGAGGTGGTGACACAAGTCATCGTTTTTATTGACTTTGGCTGGAAGTCTGTAAGGAGAATTATAGGTCGCACGCGGAAGATTATATAATGTAGCGATAAAAAGAAGATTTTGACTTGATTGAAAAACGAAATACATTTTTACTTTCATACGTCAGCGAAATAAATAAATAAGCCAGTTCATAGTTGCAGTCTGAACGTGAGCAGATAAAGTCATTGCAGACCAAAATGTGCTATACACGGAGACAAAATACTGGACACGTGAAAGTTACGTGCTCATGAACAAGCACGTAGCCAGAGGTTGATGTTTTTTTTTTTTTATTATTTTTTTTTTTTTTTTTTTTTTTTTTGGGGGGGGGGGGCACATACATGTAATCGATCGAGGTAAAAAAAAAAGGGGGTCTAAAAAAGTTCAACTGATCTTGGAAATTTAGGGGGGCACGTGCCCCCCGTGCCCCAAGTGGCTACGTGTCTGTTCATGAAAGTTATGATATCATTATTCATTTATGCAAAAGCAGTGTACTCCATGATAAACAGGTGAAAGTAGTCTTTGAAAAGAGGGAACGAAGGCTATTTATGTGGCACTACCATCGCTGTAGGAGTGATTATTTTAAAATGTACAAAGTGGGACCTCTTCATGATTTGAAGATCTGTGGATATTCGGGGTCATTTGGGACATGTGCTAACCGTGAACTGGTTTATTCTAAACCGGTCTGATGGGTAACAAGCTGATATCTTGTCAGTCTGTGACATTAAACAATTTATTCTACTTTTATTTTTAGTATTAACTTAAAAGCCCTTTTTTCACTTTCGACAGCTTTATTTATAACCAAAAAATATAGAATAGTTCACTAATAGTTCATTACTATGTGACTGGCCGTGTCCCTTAATTTCAAGATGTGTGTCAAATGACCTTTAAAACGTGACTCAGCTATCATGCTTTTAATTCAGTAGTGACCCTTTTAATTATCAGAGTTAGAGTCGATCGGCATGCGTAATTTCCTCGTGAACACCACCACCCTCATAAATTTTCAAGGGCGAAATCAAACAATTAACTAGCTTGAATTAAACCTTTATATGGACTTTTTGAGTGCAAACATTGCGTCTGCTGGTGAATTCAGATACTATGATCATCAAGTCTATAATGTCGCACTGAATCAATGCTGCACCGAATACCAATATGTACCTAATGTTTTTCACCTTGCCATAATTTCTTCATAATCTAACAACCATGAAGTTTGCCATGACTGCCATCATGTTGGTTTACCTTGATCCTACCTTTCAAACATTTAAAGAGCCTCGACACCAGACTTTCTTGAACAGAGTTGGAAATGTCTCCTCTCTTTTTATACCAAGCAGTGACGTCATCATTGGTCACGAGAGAATGATTAAGGTCAAGGCCATGGCCAACCTTCATGTAGTATTTACCTGAAAAGACGAATTGTTTTTCATTTCATTCGATTTAGATATAATTATGCATATAGTTTAGGATACTGATCGATTCAAATGATCCAGTATATACACATCCACTAAAATAGGGACTTTTAGAATTGCACGACGACAACATAAACTGCTACGTGTGACGTTCTTTTAAAAGGACGTCACACATAGCAGTCCACGGAAATTTTAATGTCCCTATTAACTCGTACAGTATATAAAAAACAATAAAACAGATTGTTTAACAGGGAGAATGATAGATGTTGATAATATGTAATGTTCACCCAAATTGTGTATAGTGACACCGTTGCACATGAGGCGTCACTTTATTGACGTAAGACTGCGTCAGTAACTGCTGCGATCTTTTACGCATGAGAGAGTGACATCAGGGGACGGATCCAGGGGCGTGGGGCGCACGCCCCCTTTTTTGCCTCAAGAAAAATATTCACATAAATGTTCAGTTTACTCAAGACATTCAGAAATGCCTCAGAATGTACCATAAAGCACCTGAAGGTTCAATAATTTCCGGGGCTCTTAAATAAATAAAATCAGTAGTAGTTCCTCAAATTCTTACCGTCTGGATATTTAATGGCAGGCAATATATACGAGTTCCTGTCATCTCTTCTGTCTTTCATTTCAACACCACAACACGGCAGTGACGATAGGCGCTCGACATCCTCATCTTGGACCTCTACCAGTACTGCTGACTCCGAGTTCGTCGATATATCGACCTCCATTCCGTTCGGAAGAAGATGTTCGAAGTTGACAAACGCACCAGGGCATAGAAGAACCCGTCGAGCACGAATCAGGCGTCCGCTTTTCGTTCTTGCTATCAGATGTCGTCTACTAAGTCGTTCTGCGTCATCAACTTCGTCGGCGTTGTCCGTATCGTCACTGTCTCTGACTTCAGACACCACATCTTCGATCATCTCGCATCCATTTTGCGATGCCAAGAGTTTGTTGGCAGCAATGTAGGGCCGGGGATTGATGTAACCCGCGTTACAACTGTCGTAGATAGCAGCGATGCCTTCATCAAGGGGTTTAAAGGACGGTAATGCCCTTGACAGTTCCTCGCCTACGAAACACTTTGTCGTCTTGGGACATTTCGGCAAGAGTTCCTTGATAAAACTTTCAGCTGAGATGAGCACATTGCCAACTTCGTTGAAGATATTAATTCCTGCGAAACAAGGACATTAATTGTTTCAATGAATTGACAGGGAACAGCCGATAAAACGGATAAAATGGGTAGCAATAATTAAACACACTCGTATATACAGTATGTAAGAGGAACTTTTTGAACGAAAAAGTCTGGCACTTTAATTATCCATTTTTTTAAACAAACGAAGTTAACTTTCAAGATTTGAAAGGATCGGTAGAATCCCCTGAACCATATTCCTTATTAATTAATCTCGGATGAACCCCCCCCCCCCCAAAAAAAAAAAAAAAAAAAAAAACACAATTACAAGATGCTTTTATAAGCTACTGAAATCATGGCATCTGAGAGCAAATTTGTCGTAGAAATTTAGCAGTTATAATTATAGTTAACAAGTTTTATGAAACGGGCCCCTGGGCCCCGTCTTACAAAGAGTTGCGACTGATCCGAAGCAATCTCTGATTCTCTTAATTAAAGCCCGGCCCACTGCACTACTTACAGCTACTTGCGCCCTCTATATAGCAGACAATGCCTAATCGGTGACCATTGGTCCCCCATGGTCCTCTTTTTCTTATGTTAATTGAGAGCTTACTTGATGAGATAACCACCTGTCAGTGATCCTGCAGGGAGGTCTAATCCCTTTTGGCCAAACTGGTGCGGTGAGGCTTTGATTATCACAAATTTGGAGCCCCTTTCTCTTATGTACACAGTTAATTGCGATTGATATGAATCGCAGATAAGTTGCGATTTATATCAACTCTTTAAAAGACGTGGTCCAGATAACCTTTACTTCAACCCCTAAACGGCCAACAGTAGGGACTTTTAGATTTGCGTGGACTGATACGTGTGACGTCTATTCATTATTAGGCAGTGCATTAAAAGGACGTCGATCGTAGCAATCCACATTGTCTTCGTGCAAATCTAAAATTCCCTAATGAATTTCCTGGCATGACGTACCCGATTCTTTCTCCAGCTCCCTGTATCTGAGTATGGATCGCTGAGCAAGGACCAACCAAGATTGGTGTGCTGTAGTCGTGGCGACTTCGCAGACTATACGGCCTTGATCGTAGTGAGCTCCGAATATTGTACGGGACGGATCACTCCATTCCTGTTGTAAAGACGAGTGTAATAGGCATGTTTCGTAATGTAACCACATTGAATTCATATGTGAAGTGCCTCAATACAATTTATATCATACACGGGTTGGGCTGTTCCCCCCCCCCCCCCCACTCAGTGTTATTTAGGGTACGCATATGCGTGTTCCCTCCTTTTGAAAACACCCCGTAAGTCCGGTGTGTAAAGTACCCCTTTACCGGACATTTTGGTAACACGCATGCGGTCATTCCGACCCCGGAGTGAGGTGGGGGGGGGGGGGGGGGGGGCGGGGCTGGGCTATTTTCCCCCATAAATTGACCCGACTATCATAGGGAGATCCGTCGATCAATATATTTCAGCAAGAAACATCTAATTTAGAGCATTCTCTCGGATTGGTACGAGGCATAAATGACAGAACGCTTTACAAATATGGAAGGAGTCGTCCCCCAGTAAATTGAGAACATTATGCAGAGAAGGGCCTAATCGATGGGTTAAAAATTATGTAAATTCGGTCAATTCTCTTTACATCCCATTGACCAAACTTCCTCAGAAGGAAGAATGGTTGTTTGTATCAGAACAAGACAAAACAGAAATAAAAACAAAACAAAAGTAAAGGAAAATTTAAAAGAAATTTAAAACAATTTATTAAAAAGAACAGATAAAACTCACTTTCGGTTTCCAGACTTTCGCTATTATGTTTATCTGATTTTTCTGTTTTCACTCAATTGAACTTTTTGCAAGAGTTAGATTGCACTTAAATTAAAATATAGCGGAAAGACCTGTTTTGATGCGTTTCTGCCATATAACATTTTCTCTGAATTAGCGATTAATAAGTCTTTCCTTTGCATTTTTAGTTATTTAACAGAATCAACGTAACTCTATTTTAGACGGCAGATGCAAAAATGCACTAGCACTCTCATATACTTGCTTAGGTACCCTTTACAGTTTCTCATGATCACTTACGTGTTCTAGAGGTTCATTTGGTCCGACTAGACAAACTTTAATATCCTTCTGAGACGATGTCCACCTTGCCGCTGCTGATCCAGTCAATCCGGCTCCAACAATACAAACATCGTATATTACATTAGAAATATTCTCCATCATGCTTGTTGGGTTTCATTTCGCGAATAATGACAACTCTGTCGCAGACTTTGAACTCTGCATGGTACCGGTATAAAATATCTGCCCCCTGTTGTTATATGATATGACTTACAACCCGTGCTCCCTGTCCTAGCTGTCAGTATATTATGTAGCTGCACAATGGTGTAAAGTGAGAATTATATAGTCAGATGATGCAGCGGAAGTTTTAGTCATTATGTAATCAATTTATTGTACAAAACGACGTTTGATGATGCACATGCATCGGCGCATTGAGGACAAAAGAGACGTTAAGACCAACCATGTATGAGAAACACAACTGAAGAAGAAAAGAAAATCAGTAATAGGCCTGTTCAGACTTCGGACATAAATCATAATCAGCTATGTAGCTTAGTTTCCAGACAAAATTGCACGTATTTTTCTGTTGGTGAAATTCTAATGCGTCATTTGCCCTTTACTTCTACCAATGATGATATGTCGTCCTGATTTTATTCCCATTAAGTTAATTTAATATTTTTTTAATGAGTTATATATTATTCCAATAGGTTCTCGATCTTTTTACTGGTTTGTCGTTCAGTTAATTGAATTGTGTCTATTTTGTTGCGTTAGTTGAGCTTGAGACTGTAGTTTGTTGGCGAGTTTAAAAATAAAGAAAAAAATGTCAATTAGCTGCCAGAAGGTCAGTTTTGCCAGTCTATATAATTGTATAAAAAGTTAATAGCCCTGTACTGCTAAAGTCTGTCTCGTGCCGAATCAACGATTCCATGACATTTGCTCCGGCGACAACTTGTTGCTCCGCTGTAAATTTCATACACTAATCGAATGGCTAACTTCAACCCTGGATTCAACACTATACCCTACCCTAAACCTAACCCTAAACCTAACATAAAACCCTATATTGAAACCCTAACCCTAACCCTACATCTTAGACGAAATAAAGCCCGGGCAAATGTCGTGTCACCGAATCAACAACAATGTGATTTTGAACTTCCACCGGTCGGCCAGACGGTATCGTTTTGAACAGTTCAATGACATGAAAAGCCTACCCACAGCATGTGTATGGCGCCATAATTATATCTGTTTAAAAAAAAAACATTCAAAGGCGCGAGTTCCTCCAATAAAGTTAGCATTTAAATGTCTGAATGAATTTAAGACGTGAGTCTGGAGCGAAGCTAGCTTTGAAGTGGTTCAGGTTGTCAATTATTTCGCGAATAAAATGATGGGAGGGAGTTCCACAGGCGAGGAGCAATTTACGTTTAGACAGCACATAGGAGATTGGTTGCACTGTGCTCGGGGCAGAGTGAGCTACATGCCCTAATAATTCAAGCGTGGGGAGCAAAAGAGGGAAAGAGAGAGAGAGAAAGAGAGAGTGGATGGGGGAGAGAAAGAAAGAGAGAGAGAGAGATAGAGATAGAGAGAGAGAGAGAGAGAAGGGGGAGGGGATGAAAATATGGAAAGGAGCAAGGTAAAGTAAACAACAACAACAAAATTAAAAAGTTAAATAAACGACCCGGGGTCGTTTATTTAACTTTTTAATTCCACTGAATAAGGGAAGAAATGGGAGGGGCCCTCCCATTTCTTCCCTTATTCAGTGGAATCGTTCTTTCGCCGCACTTCATGATTCTATTAAAGTCATTCTACGTAGAGTAGAGTTCAGTGGCCGATCTGGCAGTGGCAGTGCCTCCGGCCCAGCCCCGGGCCCCATTCGATTCCTCCATCATGTTTTATACTTAACCCTGTGGGCATTTTTAATCTGTTTACTTTTCGAGGTATCCGTGCTTCCGGGGGTATCCAAACCATTTTGTTTTTAAGTTTCATTATAATTTTAGATATATCATTTTATATTGAATTTCTATTGAATATATTTTTTATAGGTTTTTTAATGGTTTAACATATCAAATAAAATGAAAATGAAAAAAGATAAAATCCCTAGCATTAACGTATGGCAATCATGCTCAGTCAAATAAAGCGACACTAGGGTATTGGTAATTTGTGATATAAAAATATTTTTAAATTTTATAATTTGAATTACTTATAAGATTTCTGCTTATGATCTAATACCGCGCGCGCTGTTCCATTTTGTTGATAAGATCATCTGTTTTAAGTTAAGTATACTTTATATTATAACGTGCGCCTATATTTATTTCAAGAGTTAAAGCCCCTTTAAAATTTGATGGCATGACATTGCATTTTGATTGTACCATAATGTGAAACATCGAGGATGTCATTTAAGACACATTTCTGCAATGACTCTCTCCCCGAAAAAATGTGTTTGAAGACAAATACACTATATAATACATAATTTGGGTTTTACATTTCCATTTCCATTTTACGATGCCACCCCCGTTTCTCTTTCTTTCTCTCTCTCTCTCTCTCTCTCTGCATGTCTCTCTGTCTCTCATTGCCTCATCTCTTTTTGTGTCTTTCTGACTCTCTGTCTCTCTGTCTCTCATGTACAAGATGTATGACAAATATATATATATATATATATATTTACTTCTTCTTCTTCTTCTTCTTCTTCTTCTTCTTCTTCTTCTTCTTCTTCTTCTTTGTTAGCATATATCAGTGGCGTAGACAGGTTCGTACACCTGGGGGGGATGACTCAAGGGCGGATCTAGCTTTTTCGCGAAGCGGCGAGCCGATTTTTTTTGGGGTGTTTATTTTAACCCCGTAAGTGATGTTTTCCTGGCATCTATTAACACAATGGAGACCATAAAAAGCAGTGCATGATAACGTCTTTTTAAATCAAGTAACAGTTAAATACACAGTTATATCCAGAGTTATCATGTGTTGAATATCTTCTCACAATATTTGCACTTGAAAGGGTTTCTCTCCAGCGTGCGTTCTTTTTTCTTTCTTTTTTTCTTTTTTTTCTTCTTTTTTTTTCCTTTTTTGTTTTGTTTGTTTTTTTGGGCCGCCCAAGGGGGGGGGGGGGTTAAACCCCCTAAACCCCCCCCCCCCCGTAGATCCGCACCTGTTTAATCTTGTGGTTATCTTGTGGTTTCCAAACCACAAGATAACCACAAAATACTTGTAAGATTTTCTTTTTTTTTTACCGTCTGAATTGGCTTTCACCGTGTGAATGCGGCTAATAATAAACACAATTACAATAATGCTGAGGATTATTATTATCATCATCATCATAAGTATTATTATTATTAATATTATAATTGTTATCATTATTATTATTACTATTATTATCATCATTATGACTTATTAAGTAAGCAAATATCATTCCCCAAAACCTGGGGGGATGATTGTACATGCCATCCCCCCCACCTTGTGAGGTGGGGGGATGCATCCCCCTCATCCCCCCCGTTGTCTACGCCCCTGGCATATATTGAAGTAGTAGTTGTAGCAGTAGAAGAATTTAGTAGTATCATCATCATCATTATTTTCATCATTAGTATTAAAATTATCATTATTGTACACAGTCTAGCCGAGCATATGTCTCGGCTCACATTAGATATTGCTCAAACACAGAGAGTAAAAATAGATTTTTGTTTTGGTATATATATATGTATAATATATATATATACTAGCTGTTTGCGCCCGTTAAACGGGCGCTCTTTGCTGTGGCAGCCATTTTGCGTTCGTCCGCGGCATCAAACTTTTCAGCCTTTAGCTTCCGTAAAGATTGACATATATAACAATTCTATTTACAATTGTATTTATAATTGATTTCATCATGAAATAAGCTAATAAATATCAAATTAAGACTTGACTGATTTAAATTTAAAATATTATATTTTAATTAAAAATAAGCTAATAAATATCAAATAAAGACTTGACTGATTTAAATTTAAAATAGACCTATTATATTTTAATTAAAAATATTGATTGATATTCATAAATTTCTGTGTTTGCGTGGCGAGCTTCTTTTCGGTCATTTTCTTCGCGTACGCAAGAAATACAGCTCCGTTATTCATGAATGAGGTATCAAGTTGACCGGGATCATTGTCCGAATACCTGTAAGAAACGTCAATGAAATATATCAACCGGTTCAATTTAAAAAAATAAAAATTCACTTCAGCTCAAAAAATACAGCATCTGCTGCAATTACGGCCGGTTTTAAGCCCCAGAGTTCTGGGGAAGAAAAGGGCTAGAGATAGCTATGATTACTGATTAATTTTTTCCATTAAACATCACATCCTATTTCTACTACATCACATATATATATAAGGTCTAGGCCTAGAATCTAGACGATTTTTATAACGCTGTTTGACCATGAATGACGCACCGTAATACCCGTTTTAATGCATTGATTTGATGAAGGAACTGTATCATAGTAAAAGTATTCTATCCAGCTATACACAATGCCAATGGCTATGTTTTTAAACGACCGTCTGATTTTCTTGTGAAAACTTTACTTTGAAAAATGATTATCGAAATTTAGCATACAACTATACATGGACAGAATAATCGCAATCTAAGCTCAGGTTTCATACCTCTATAGTCACGAAACTATATTGAAATATAGGGGCAATAAGAGCAATTTCAAAATGTTGTCGAGTCTACTCTATAATAGCTCAGCTCAGCTCACCTCACCTCACACACAGTCACAGTTCCGACAGTGCTCGGCAGCAGTGGCGCACTGCACTGCCCGTGCCTCATGGCAGCTAGCTTGCAACTGAACTGTCAGTTACGATGAATTTCTTGTGAAACTTTACTTTGAAGAATGATTTTCAATATTCAGTAAACATGAACAGGATAATACCAAAGTAACCCTGCTTGCATACCTCTATTCACGTAAACTATATATAAATCACGGCAATCATCATAGAATCAAAGACGAAGCGACTGAGCTGTGCGTGTGACGCTGAGCGTAGAATCATCGCATACATTATACACGTACGTTCGTACACGCAGCAGGTCCGGCTGGCCTACAAAGCATATCATATAAAAAGACGCATAACACGGGTAAGCCCAACCCGTGAGAGCGTGCATTTCTTACATCCCCTCACCCGGGTGAGTCATCTGTTAATGTGTATTTCTCTTACATGCTACAAAGCGTATCCTATAGCAAGAGGCCTAAACTCGGGGTAAGCCACAACCGTTACTACGTGATGTGCTACATCCATTGACAGAGTAGATTCTCGTCCGCTGTGTGTCTCTTTGTTGATTGCACAGAGGGCGGATGCACGCCTTGCCGACTCGCTCTCGCGGGTTCGTCGCCTCCTTGCAATCCGCGACGCCCGCCGTGCCCTCGTCCGCCCGTCCTCTCCGGGACCCCGAAACCGCCTTTATCGACGTCGACGGCGACCGCGACCGAAGATCGAACAGGGACGTGGCCAAATGGGTAGATTAAAACGTCGTCCGTCCGCGGGACCGCCCAGCGGCGACCGGGGGCGTGCGGGAGGGGAGATTTGGGCGCTGTAAAATGGAGCCGAAACACCCCCCAGATACCCCCCTCGACGCCTTAGAGTATTATTATATAGACTAGCAGGACCCGCGGAAATCCGCGGGATTCTAGAGGGGGGCGGGGGGTGTAAATAGATGTATAGAGACTGTCTAAATTAAAACCACCAAGAACTTTATTTGCCATTCAGGCCATTAAAAAAATATACATGTTTAGCGTCCCCGCCCGCTTTTTTTTAAAATATTTTATTTTTTTATTTTTTTTATTTTTGAAAGAAAAAAAAACAGCGTTCCCGCCTGCTTCCTTTTTGGGGGCCGCCTCCTATTTTTTTTTAAATTATTTATTTATTTTTTTTTTATTTATTTTTTTTTTTTGTAAGAAAAAAAACATGAAAAACACTGCTAAAATGTATTTCTGATTTTAAAAAAGAAAAAAAAAAATTGTCGGCCGCCATCTTGAAAAATAGGCTGAATGTCAGGGAAAATGTACGGAGCGGCCATTTTGAAAGAAAAAAAAAAAGGGCCTCCTTCCCATTTTTCGAAAAAACAGGACGCTAAACATGTTTTTTTTTTAATTTGGCCTTATATAAAAAAACGAAAACGATCCAACTATACCGGTAGTTATTCTTTAAGCCACTGGAACTGCGTAGAGTTCCGTAGTGTGGCGTACCGACTACGCAGAAATTAGGCTGCGTATTAATGGGAAAATAGTCCCTGCGTAGGTTATGCGTAGGCCGGCGTACAGGTTTGCTTATGGTTGCTTACTGTGTGGAAAGCTTTTACTGCTTTGTCAATCTGGCGTAGGGTAGCGTACTGTTGCGTAGTCATGTAGCGTAGTGTTGCGTAAAAAGGCGTACTTTCTGCGTCAAGTTTCTATGCCGAAAGTACGCGAAAAAAATTAAACATGTTGACTTGTTTTCGTTCATCTTGCGTACCCCTTTCCGTCCCCCAGCATATAGTAACGTAGGCCAGCGTAGTTGGTACGCAACACTACGCAACTCTACGTATTGACCCCACGCCAAATAAAGTATTGAAAATATGCTCATCTGACCCTAATTAAACGCCTAAACCCCCCGAGCTTTCGGGGGTTTATGGCCCCTTGAAACCTGTGGACCGCACGCCTACACTCAACTCGCTTCGATCTACCTGATCCCCCTCGCCCCCCCCCCCACAACCCGTGGACCCCACGCCTACACTCAACTCGCTTCGATCTACCTGACCCCCCCCCCCCCCCACACTTTGAAAAATGTTTTGTGGGGTCTGCATGTAACATGTAAGATGCAGATTTTTTTTGTAACATGTAAGATGCAAACAAAATATTTTGCCCCCCCCCCCCCCCAACGATCTTATGGCACTTCGGCCTGCCCGCTGTTGTTTTCACGTGTAGGCCTACTTCAATGAATGGATAGACATAAATAGTCGCATGGATGGATACATAATATAGCGTATAGTTGTCGAATATTGGCATGTTTGGCCCTTCATAGTTTCTTCGACTCTGAATAGCTAGCTCACTCACTCACTCAGCTCAGTCGAGCAGCCAGCGCAGCTGCACTGCACTACACACTGTATGCGTACGGCAGAGCTCTTGAAACTGAACGATGTTTTTCTCTGATTTTCTTGTGAAAACTTTCCTTTAATAAATGATAATCAAAACTGAGTAAACATGGCCAGAATAATCACAAAATAAGCTTTGATTTCATACCTCCACTCACGAAAACTATATAAAAATCCCGGCAATAATGATGGAAATAGGTCTCTAAGTTTGGACGTGGATGGGAAGACATCTGTTGCGCTGATCATGAAATAAGCTAATAAATATCAAATAAAGACTCAACTCGTTTAAATTTTAAATATGAGGTCTACATTTTAATTAAAATTAAAAAAATGGAAAAGATTACAACATCTAAAATATACAAAACAAACACGGGGAAGAAAAAAAAACTTGCGACGGAGGCGGGATCGAACCCGTGCGTGCAAAAAGTGCAAGAGCTGCCGGCGAATCGAACGCAATTAACCGGCGCCTCAGACCGCTCGTCCACTTCCGTTTCATGCTAAAGCATGAAATTCGTGACGGATAAGTGGGACGTGCGGACGCATCGACGACGTCGACGACGACCGGGACGTCGCACCGGGCCGGGACGTGGCCAATTCTGTAGATTGAAACCCCGTCCGTCCGCGGGACCGCCCGGCGGCGCCGGGGACGGGCGGGAGGGGAGATTTGGGCGCCGTAAAATCGATCCCGGATACCCCCCTCGACGCCTTAGCGTATTATTATATGGATAGCTCTATGGTACTAGCCTACCTGAACTTGAAGCAAGCATGCTAAAATGTGGCCAAATGTTGCATCATTCTACTATACTGGTTCCTGTACTAATCGTCCTTTTATACTTTGTCCAATACAATGTCGGTATTCTTTCTTTTTTTTACCCCGACAACTTGATCAATTTGACAAATATCCCATATTTTACCACTCATAAATCACAAAGAGCACGGCAATTGAGTGGCAGAACTATCTAAGTGGGGAAGGGGGTGGGTAAGAGGAGTATGATGAGGTAGTGGTCGATTGGAGGCCGAGGCATTAGGTTGTACATTTTAGGGGCGAGCGAGTAATATGTATAGGGCCTACCTAAGCATTGCCTATTTAAAGTAAATCACAAACAGGACGCCTATAGTTGACATGGCTGATTTGGCTGAGAAAACAAGCGAACTCACAATGAGTAAGTGCATGTTTATATTATAATATTCCAGTGCATTATCATTTTTTTTACTCATGTATAATAATAACGTTTAAAGAGTTAAGGAGATCTAGTGTTGGTCTCCAGATGCAAATGTATTTTGCCTCGCCCAGTTTGAGCTGTAGTCCCATAGGTTAAAATTGGTGTGTGAGAATGTAATAATATCGTTAGTATAATTGAGCCGGTGAATTGCCATTTGGTCTACAACCAGTTCGTCTACTACCAATTAGTCTATACCCATATGCCATATGATCTACACCTTGCTCCTACACCCTTAAACAAGGATATCCTCGTAAACACTGACATAAATCTATTATTACGTCATAAAAAATAAAGACGTTTTTTTTCATCGGCGCTATGCAGGTTTCGTGTTCCGGTACTCGAATCGCGCGCTGGCGATGCAAAAAACTGATTCCGGGTATTAAAATAAACCCCACTTCACCATCTACTTTTAAGGATTGTCTGTCTTCCCGAGGATTTATCGTACTAATTTATCGCTCATAACGTGAAAGTCTCTGTACAAGTCGATGTGAAATGCATCAAGAAAATCTTGCACAATCTGTTTTTCGCATCGCAGATCGGAAATATTAAATGTCTGCGAAAATGCGGAGGATCCGTATTTTTGCGGACGCCTCTGTCCACCTTTACGTAGACAATCTTTGTTTATTCGGACGATCCTTATTCTTGCACCAGCGCCCCTACTGATAACCTCTGAAATGGACCATACAATTAAATGGCGTCACTCCTACTCCTAGTACAATGCATGAAGTCTATTAAACCGTAAGCACCTTCCTACTAGTATGAGGTTTAAAAACATGTTAATTTCATCTATTCCATGAAAAGAAGTCGTATTGAACGTTAATATTCATATTCTTTTGTTAATAGACTACATTCAAAAATATTCTTTTGGTGCTCAGACATTTGCTCGGCCAACAATTGCTCCAGGCTTTATATTTTCAAAAGTATAGGGCTAAGATTAGGTTAGGTTTGCAACTGGACTATAGTTTATTTAGGTTAGGGTAATGGTTAGATTTAGTATTGGGTCTGGGGTTGAAGTTAAGAATCTGGTAAGTGTAGGAGCAAGTGTCATACAACATTTTCTTGTGGCTGTAAACCGGAACTCTTTCTGTCATTTATTTGATATAGGTGATAAGCCAGCTGTAATGTATATATCTGAAAAGGAGGGGAATGATGAATCAGGAGATGGATCAGAACAAAAACCCCTCCAGACTCTACTACGTGTGAGTATTAAATAGACTTAAAGCCCCACTGCACTCCTTATAGCTACTTGCGCCCTCCTCATAGCAAACAATGCCTAATCGGTGATCATTGGTCCCCCATGATCCCCTTTTTCTTATGTTAATTGAGACCTTATTTGATGAGATAACCACCTGTCAGTGACCATGCAGGGAGGTCTAATCCCTCCTGGCCAAACTAGTGCAGTGGGGCTTTAAGACTTGAAAAGAGTGTAAGATTGGAGAGAAGATCTTTAAGCATAGTATAACAGTGATTTGATTTTCTAATTTATTCAGATAATTTGAAACAGGTCTTGGGGAAAAAAACAATAGCAAAAAGGGTTTGATAAAACTCATACAAGTCCGTGTCAAAGATATGATAGAAGCCATTAGGGCTGCGACGAGTAGTCAAATGCTCGAGTACCCGCACTGTTGACAACTACTCGAGTACGATTTCTCGTACCTGAATATTCGGCCGCTGGCATGGTACCGTCGGTAAAAATGTTTCCCAGCTCAATCACAAGTCAAACTCACCACTCAGAAACTGGGACCAAATGTCCGGATTTCTGTTTGGACTCAGAGGAAAATGGATTATTCTGCCATCTTTGGTTTTTAAAACAGGATTGTTTACTGTTATTATTATTATTAAATTGGCGCCTTCAACTGCAACTCGAAGTAAAGTTGCATGAGTTTTCAGGGACTGAACTGGGATACTGCTCCCGTGGTATGGTGGCAAAATTTTTTTTTAAATGTTAAAAATTAAAAAAAAAATAAATAAATAAATAAATAATAAAAAAACATGGCGTCCGAATATTTGAGTATTTGCTTGTAAGCCTGGGAGTGTACTCGGATACCTCATTACACTGTTGTGCACAGCCTTAGAAGCCATCATCATAAAAATTGACAAAATTATGAATTGTTAATTATATTTAAAAGATAACTCATTGTGAGGATTAAAAATTGCATGAGTTTTCAGGGACTGAACTGGGATACTGCTCCCGAGGTATGGTGGTGGCAAAAAAAAAATTTTTAATGTTAAAAATTAAAAAAATAAAAAAAAATAAAAAAAAATAATAAAAAAACATGGCATCCAAATATTTGAGTATTTGCTTGTAAGCCTGGGAGTGTACTCGGATACCTCATTACACTGTTGTGCACAGCCTTAGAAGCCATCATCATAAAAATGGACAAAATTATGAATTGTTAATTATATTTAAAAGATAACTCATTGTGAGGATTTAAAATAAAACTTAAGCCATATGTTTTGTATACCAAGTGAAAATTATTTTTTAAAAGATAAACAGTGATTTTTCAAGTAAATTATATTAAAAAAACAACTACAGGATTTCAATTGTCTTTTTGGTTTGTTGTAATGCAGCAACTGATACTGTCAGTCTCTCTCTCTCTCTCTCTTTCTAAATTTTCTATGTCTGAGTCTGGGACAGGCACATCTGTACCTGAAATTAAATATTCTGTTAACAAAAACTCTATAACCATTTCAACATCATTTCATACATCTGCTAGTAAGTGAAAATGATACACATAATGAAACACTTAATTATACAATTAATAATACAAATAATGATACACATAATGATACACATAATGATAATGTACATCATTGTACACGTGTTGTATCATTACTTTATGTAACTCATATGATGGTAAATATTGAAAATGTTTATTGCAAAATGTAAAGTAATACGTGCATTTACACTTGCTACCAAAAAGCCTGAAAACTGACATTGATAATTCAATATTTATGTAATTTCTTTCACCCATCAAATCATTTGATCAATCTCACTTTGTCTTTACCTCATTAGGCAATGACGGCTTCAGGAGGGGAACCTTTCCCCAAATTCATGGGAGACTCGAAGAAGGAAGGAGAGGTAAAAACACGTAGAAAAAAAATCATGATCAAGCACTCATTCCAGCTGCAATTCCAAAGTTTAAACCCGTGATGCTACAAATCTACTTGCCCAAATTCCTGGGTTACGTAGTCTGAAAAATTCAGGGCAACCAGTGTTTATATTTCTTTTAAGTTTCATTTAAATTTCATCAGTTTTAAAAATATCATTTTAACATTTTCTTTGAAAAATCTGTGATACTGAAGATGTAAAATCACCTCCCAAAGTATTTTTTATAATGTAGAAAATTGTTCAATTAATTCCACCCTCCTCTATCTGATGTAACGGTGTTATGTTGTGTGTTATGTGTCACAGAGATGGGAAGAAGTCTCACAAGCTCAGAGGAAGAAGATCACCAAGCTGTTTGCCAAGGAGCAGAGGAAAACATCTGAACGTGAAAAGAAAGAGGTATTGATAACAGTTCTCAGTCCATGTCTCCACCTTTAAATCTATTCTACGCTCATATTGCAGTCAAACCTGCTTTAGCAACCACCTGTATAGTAAAACCATTCGTTGATAAAGACCATATTTTTTGTTTCCCTCGAATATGATTCCTCAGTTACACCATCTGTCTATAAATAGTCTTAAAGACCATATTTGTGTGTTTCCCTTCATAATGATTCCTCATTTAAACATGTTCAAATCACCTTCCAAAGTATTGGGTAGGGGGTAATTTTTTTATAGTTTTTTTTATAATGTCTTTTTGTACAGTTGAACATAAAAAGAAAGAGGTACTGATAACAGGTCACAGTCCATGTCTCTACCTCAAATATGATTTCTCATTTGCACCATCTATCTATAAAGAGTCTTAAAGACCATATTTGTGTGTTTCCCTTCATTATGATTCCTCATTTAAACATGCTTTAAATGAACCTGTATATAAAGACCACTTGCCTATAAAGACCATTGTATATCTCCCTTGAGCGGTCTTTATAGACGGGTTCGACTGTATATCAATATAACTGCTTGTTCTTTTAGGCAGAGGATGCCGAGAAGAGGCAGAAACCTGCTTGAGCAACCATCTGTATAGAAAGACCATCCATTGATAAAGACCATATTTTTTGTTTCCCTTGAATACGATTCCTCATTTAAACATGCTCTAAATGAACCTGAACATAAAGACCACTTTATATGTCTCCCTTGAGCAGTCTTTATAGACAGGTTCCATGGTATGTTGATTTAACTGCTTGTTCTTACAGGCAGAAGATGCGGAGAAGAGGCAGAAGAACTTGGAGGAGGCCAAGAAGATCACGATTGAGGAAGACTCAAGCTTGCCAGCTGCTAAATTGGTATGAAAAATCAATGTGAAGTAGACACCCATTACATGTAGAGTTGTATTTTTACTGGGCTGTTTCTTAAAGGGAGTGTAGCATGACGAGTCTACGTGCCTTTCCCGTGGCCTGACTCTGGGCCAATTGGGTATAATATGACTACGGACGACACCAACGAACTTCGGTCTGTTTCGCGAACGCTGACCATGTAGAGATTAAGTCGCTGACTTCCGTTAATCATTGTGTTTGAAGTTGTTTTTTGTGGGGGGGGGGGGGGGGGGGGAGTCTGACGAATTGGAAATTCTAGTTGTTGCACATTTTCAGATATTGCATGCTTGTCAGAAAGGAAAATAATGTTTTATAAAATTAAATAGATATTAACCAAACAAAAATCATGTTACAGCTGCATGTAGATATATGAAGATGAACACCCATTGACGATAATAAATAAGGAACAATTGTTGCTCTTTTATAGAGAGGTATTTAACATATAACATTGCCATTAAGAACATAGTAAATGATAATGGCAAGAGTGCATTAAGTTTAACCTTGTTTGGAATTCTCAATTGTTATATTATCTTCTTGTAACTTTGCAGATCAAGATCAAGAGTGGTGGAGCCAACAGAGGAACCCGTGTTAAGATCAATGGATGGGTCCATAGGCTCAGGAGACAGGGTAAGCATGAATCATGAAATTTGTTCAGTTACTCGGCTACTATAAATTTTGAACCAAATGTAATTTATAGAAGAAGCCATTTCTATCTAGTATCGTGTTCAAAATTGTTTGCTTCGATGACATCCAAATTTTGCTCATCGCCAGAACTCAAGTCTAATGAAATTCATGGTTATAATGGAGTGCCTCAAGCACCTTGCATAAGTAGTGAATATAAGTGCTATACAAGTTTCCAATTGTTGTTGTTGGTATTCCTTATTATTGGTTTTGTTATCGCTATTATTGTTTATAGTATTGCTTTCCTTCTTATTCTCCTCCTCCTCATCTTTCGCCTTCTCATCCTTTTTCTTCTTCGCCTTCTCATTCTTCTCCTTTTTCTTCTTCTTTTTCTTCTTCTTCTTTTTCTTCTTTTTCTTCTCCTTCTTCTCCTTCTTCTCCTTCTCCTTCTTCTTCTTCCTCTTCTTCTTCTTCTCCTTCTACTCCTTCTTCTCCTCCTCCTTCGCCTTCTCATCCTTTTACTTCTTCTCTTTTTCTTCTCCTTCTCCTTCTTCCTCTCCTTCTTCTCCTTCCCTTTCTTTTTCCTCTTCCTCTTCCTCTTCTTCTTCCTCCTCTTCCGCTTCCTCTTCCTCTTCCTCTTCCTCTTCCCCTCCTCTTCCTCTTCCTCTTTCTCTTCCTCTTCCTCTTCTTCTCCTTCCCTTTCTTTTTCACTTCCTCTTCCTCTTCCTCTTCCCTTCCTCTTCCTCTACCATCTTCCTCTTCTTCTCCTTCTCCTTCCCTTTCTTTTTCACTTCCTCTTCCTCTTCTTCTTCCTCCTCTTCCGCTTCCTCTTCCTCTTCCTCTTTCTCTTCCCCTCCTCTTCCTCTTCCCCTCCTCTTCCTCTTCCTCTACCATCTTCCTCTTCTTCTTCTCCTTCTCCTTCCCTTTCTTTTTCACTTCCTCTTCCTCTTCTTCTTCCTCCTCTTCCGCTTCCTCTTCCTCTTTCTCTTCCCCTCCTCTTCCTCTTCCTCTCCTTATCCTTCTTCTTCTCCTTCTTCTCCTTCTTCTCCTTCCCTTTTTTTTCTTCTTCTTCTTTTTCCTCTTCCTCTTCTTCTTCCTTTTCATCTTTCTTTTCCCCTCCTCTTCCTCTTCCTCTTCTTTTTTTTCCTCTTCCTCTTCTTCTTCTTCTTCTTCTTCTTCTTCTTCTTCTTCTTCTTCTCCTTCTTCCTCTCCTCCTCTTTCTCCTTCCTCTACCATCTTCCTCTTCTTCTTCTCCTTCTCCTTCCCTTTCTTTTTCACTTCCTCTTCCTCTTCTTCTTCCTCCTCTTCCGCTTCCTCTTCCTCTTTCTCTTCCCCTCCTCTTCCTCTTCCTCTCCTTATCCTTCTTCTTCTCCTTCTTCTCCTTCTTCTCCTTCCCTTTTTTTCTTCTTCTTCTTTTTCCTCTTCCTCTTCTTCTTCCTTTTCATCTTTCTTTTCCCCTCCTCTTCCTCTTCCTCTTCTTTTTTTTCCTCTTCCTCTTCTTCTTCCTTTTCATCTTTCTTTTCCCCTCCTCTTCCTCTTCCTCTTCTTTTTTTTCCTCTTCCTCTTCTTCTTCTTCTTCTTCTTCTTCTTCTTCTTCTTCATCCTCTTCTCCTTCACCTTCTCATTATTATTTCTTGTATATTGTTTGTATTTCAGGTCGATCTCTTATGTTCATCGTTCTGAGGGATGGTACAGGGTTCCTTCAATCTGTTCTCAATGATAAGCTGGTGAGAAAACATAAATCCATATTTTTCTTTCCTTTTATGATAGATGATCTGTACAGTATACCTATGTGCAGATGCATATTGATGTAGGATGCTGATACATCCTTCAAGAAATATGTGAATAATTCAGTGTAATCTCTATAGCACGTGTATTATAGATAATGATTACAGTCAAACTTGCTCTAGCGACCACCTGAATAGAAAGACCATAGTTTTTAAAATTTCCATTAGACATCGGTGGTGGTTGTTATTTTACCTGACTGCTAAGAAAGCATAAATGCTTGTAAGTAAGCAACCAGACGGCCGACGGTTTTAGGTCCTCTCCGAGGCACCTGGTAATGAGGATTAATGCCTTACCAAGGGGCACTAGCGCATCGACTTGGTTTTGAACCCGGGTCACCGGATTACGAGACCACTGCTCTACCGACTGAGCTATCGCGCCTCCTCATGATTTGTCATGGCAACATGTCCTAAAGAAACCTGTACATAGAGACCACCTGCCTATAAAGACCACTTTGTTTGTTCCCTATGAGCATTCTTTAGAGACAGGTTCCACTGTATTTTGTAGTAGATATGCAGGTATGAACAAATTCTTTACTTTCAAAGACAGACAAAACTGTGTGAAAATTGTATTGAAATGTTGACCTCTTTCCTATGGGCCATTCAGTCGTGTCAGTAACTGTGATTTACATTTATCCATTTTTTCAATGTAAATGGAAGAAGTTTTGAAACTATTCATATTTCTTCTCTCTCTGCCTATACAGTGCCAGACATATGATGCTCTGATCTTGTCAACGGAAAGTACAGTGACCTTGTATGGTGTCCTCAAGGAAGTCCCAGAGGGAAAATCGGTAAGTCTCGGTGATCTAAAAATAATCTGCTACATTTTTAATATTTCTTGAGTCTACAAAACTCAGTACCGGTATATGAAAAGATAACAGTGATTGAGGTGATATCCTGTGGATTTGATGATATTGAAGAATCAATTTCTGTATGAAATTTTTTTAATTTTCTGTCTCCTCCTTCCTCCTCTTCACCCTTAGGAGAAATAATTATCTTGGTAACTGCATGCAAATGCCAGTTCAGCATTGCTAGAAAGACAGTTTTTATGCCTCCGTTACGAAGTAGCCGGAGGCATTATGTTTTCGGGTTGTCCGTCCGTCCGTACGTCCGTACGTACGTCTGTACGTAATTACGTCCCGTTCTCGTGATCGCGTTATCTGAAGAACTGGTTGATGGATTCCTGCCAAACTTTGGTCATGTATGTATCTTGTAGAGCCGATGAACTGATTAGATTTTGGGGTCACGAGGTCAAAGGTCAAAGGTCACAGGGCTCATTATGTATGCAAAACGAGCTCGTGATCCCGTTATCTGAAGAACCGATTGATGGATTGCTGCCAAACTTAAGTCATGTATGTTACTTGCAAAGCTGAAAAACTGATTAGATTTTGAGGTCACGAGGTCAAAGGTCAAAGGCCACAGGGCTCATTATGTATGCAAAACGAGCTTGTGATCGCGTTATCTGAAGAACCGATTGATGGATTGCTGCCAAACTTAGGTCATGTATGTTACTTGCAGAGCCGATGAACTGATTAGATGAAGGGGTCACAAGGTCAAAGGTCAAAGGCCACAGGACACATTATGTATGCAAAAACAGCTCGTGATCGCATTATCTCAAGAACCGATTGATGGATTCCTGCCAACTTAGGTCATGTATGTTTCTTGCAGAGCCAATGAACTGAGTAGATTCTTGGTTCATAAGGTCAAAGGTCATGGGCTCATTATGTATTGAAAAATAGCTTGTAATCACAATATTCTGAGAACCTGTTAATGGATTACAATTGAACTTGAATTCGAAAAATTTCTTCTGTTTTGGTTTGTAAAATTGCTCTATGACGGAGGCATCATTTTCAACTGCGAGCAGTCGAAGTTCCATCTAGTTTTGTTGTAGGTGTCTTTCTTATTTGAAACTAAAATACATTAGACTTCTTGACTGAAGGTTGCTCAGTTCCTGCGGATATCTCGATTCTGAGAGTAAGAATGAAGTTTGTGAAAAAAAACTTATTTTTACAAGGACAAACTATCTTTTGCTTAACCCTTAAAAAACATGTGTATATGATATGCAGATTGGGGAAGGGGTGTCAATTTTAAATGATCCAATAGGCTCAAACTGCAGCACTGATATGTTATACCAGATGAGCTAATACTATGGACATGGATGGGTATATTATTTTGCCATTTCTATTTTTTCTTTTCTGTGCAGGCTCCTGGTGGACATGAGCTTCATGTTGACTACTGGAGTCTAATACATGCCGCCCCAGCAGGTGGTGTGGATAATGTGGTCAATGAGGCGAGTAGTAAAAATAGATTTAAGTCGGCTAGGATACAAATTTTCCTGTGTATTTACTTACATTTTTAGCTTTGTGAAGGGCCAGGAATCAATCAGATGTGAAGGAGTTTTGTTTTGTGCTGTATTGTGTTGTGCTGTTTTCTTTCTTTTTTTAATTCTTTTATTTATTTAATTTATTTTTGTCCTATTTTTTCTATTTTTTCCCCTTCATTTTGTTTGGTTGTTGTTGAGTTGTTGTTGTGTTGTGTTGTGTTGTTTTCTTGTCTTTTTTTCCTTTTTTTTCCTTTTTTGTTTCTTTATTGCTATATTTTTGTTTGTGTGTGTGTGTGTGTGTGTGTGTTCAATTCCTTTTTTAAGTGTTCCAAAGTGTTCACAATTGGGACCTTGGTATTTAATGTAGGCTATTGTCATGGGAATCCAAACAATTCATGGTTTTGCATTTAAGCCTTGGTTTTGAAAAGGTATTGCCATACTCGACCTATCATGTTCTTACTAGCATTTGAAAGTAAAGTCTATACACATTGCTCTTTTAGTAGTAATTGTCTTTAAACTTCTCTTCATACCACCCTGTATTTTTGTTTCCTTCAGGATTCCAATGTTGATGTTCAGCTGGATCAGAGGCACATGATGATGAGAGGAGAAACAGTAAGGACTGATGTTATTGTCTTCTTTTTATAACGCTTAACTGGCTTTTGTACTTGGAAGTACAATCAAACCTGTCTACTTAGGTCACCAAAGGGAAACATAGAAAATGGCCCCTGTAGACAGGTTCTACAGTACACATTTCTTTCTCGAGGATGACAAAATACACGGCCACTATAGACAGGTGACCTCTATAGAGAGATGGCCACTAAGACAGGTTTGCCTGTATTACCTAAGGAGAATGTATTTCTTCAGAAGATAAGTTCCTTTAACTTGTAATGGTTTGCCTAAAAAAACTAGACACTTTACAGAATTAATCTCTGTCATTAATTATTTGAGTTTAATAATAAAAAAAAAAACATTCATTCTGCTTGAGCTCAGGAATCTATTTGAATTTAATCTATGTATATTAACTCTTTATTCTTGAAGGGCATTTTCTGTCTTCTCATTTCTGAAAAGAAAACAATTTTTTCATAGATATGATTTTTTTTTTAAATAAACAGTGGTGCAATTTTCAAACAGATCGGGGGTCATTTTATGTACTACATGGTTAAAATTTGATTACCACAAATATGATCTCTTAATATTAATTACAATTTTTTTTTCTCCAAATTCTGCCCAACAATTTATTGAATGTGAAGAAGATTAAATGTGATTATTAAGATTTCAAAATCCTACTTTTTCATGTTTCCTTGAAAACAAATTTTGATGCCATTGTCATATTATCTTGTATCATTATTTTTGCTTTACTCTCAGCTTTCCAAAATCATGCGTGTTCGGTCAACTGTTACACAATGGTAAGTAAAAGTATAAGTGATAATAAAGTTTTAAAATATTTATGCAGTATAATTTCTCTTTTATTGTATTGGTCAATCTGTTTGAATTTAAAGGGATCCGGTAACTTTGTCTCAGATTCTGAAACAAAATTCTGGATTTAGCTCATGATACAATGATAATTATAAACCTTTAGGTCAGTCAGGAACCCCATGACTTTTACAAGCCGATCGCCTGTCTGATTATCAAGATATTTATGATTGAAATTAGAAATGTTGAAAACCGTTTGCCAAATGGTTTTCATAACACTACCGTCTATTGGAGAAAACGAGCATGGTAAAACCGGTAACTCAAAGATTTTTACTTTTTTGAGGCACTTCTTGATCATTTTGAAGCGCAATTTTTTAGGGCTTCAATATTACACCATATCACAGACACTGATAACACGTAGGGCCGTGTATCTCAGATTTAACATTGTTAAACGATCCCTTTAAGGTTTCATTGGCCAACTGTAAAGAAGTGAATTCAATTTGTCAAAATGAAATACCACTTTGACATTGCTTACATAAATATGAAACACAGAAATATCAGCTGTAAGCAGTATATTTAGTGTCTATACTGAACAATAACAATAACTTTTGTAGTAATGAGAGAATACTTGACAGTCCTGGTAATAATTTGATTTAGAAAAATACAATAATCATGTTTGTGAACTTGCCCAAAAATGTAATTAAAGATCGACCAAGAATCACAGTGGATTGCATCATTCATAATGATCCTAATAGTATTTATCCTTCAAGTTTAAAACAAGATAATAATAATCATTATTTTCTTACAGTTTTAGAGATCATTACTTCAGCCAAGATTATGATGAGGTAAGTAAACAAAAAAAAAAACATTAAAAAAATGTATTTGTGCGTCATTTGATAGGATTAAATTACCTTGCATAGAAGAGCTAGTTCAGAATAAAAAATAAAAAAAAGAATACATATAAAAATTTGGAGCGTTATTAATGAGAAGGTGTGTCCAGTGAGGAGCCATTCTTGTTTTGGCATTAAAAATTTCATGAATAGTTGAATGTTGGAATGAATACTTCATTACTGCTTGATGTAAGTTACAGTAGAAAACAACTCTGTCTCTTGGTTAGGATGTGAATAGTGCCCCTGTGTAGAGGAGAGTCACCACCTGTGCACTATTTCCACAACATGTGGTTCGAATTGAAGCTGAATCACTAGAGATGTCTTATTTGAACCATATAAGATAAAGCCTTGAATACACCAGTTTACGGTTATGGGCGCCATTTTAATTTACGAGTAAACAAACCAAATGACCTCTAGAGGTCAGTGGTTTATGCGTACATTTTAAGATTGCGCCCATGCAAATTATGATGACATCACTGCCTGCGTTGTGCGCGCACATCATCATTAGCATGGGCGAAATCTTAATTTATGCATAAACCACTGACCTGTAGAGGTCATTTGGTTTGTTTACTCGTAAATTAAAATGGCGCCCATGTCTGCGCATGCGCACTGTTGTAACCGTTAACTGGTGTATTGGCCTGTTAATGATGAATCTAAATAAACTTCACTTCACACCAGAGGTGCTGTTCTTGAAACCGTCATAAGTCTAGTTTCTTGGACATCCCATAGAAACATGTAACATAGAATTGACGCATGTTTGTATGGGATGTCCATAAATTGAACTGAAAACTGAACTGAAGTTAGACTAAAGACAATTTCTTAAAATGGACTCGAGGTTACAAAATCACTTATTTGTTTGTCAATAAGTGGAATCAAGTTTTTTAATACATGTATTCTGAGTGAAATGTGACTGTTAGAATAAAGATCTGATGTGTTTTTATGCCTCCACTACAAAGTAGCCATGGGCATTATGTTTTCGGTTGTTCGTCTGTCCGTTCGTCGATACGTCCGTCCAGACGTCCTGTTCTTGTGGTCGGGTTATCTCAAGAACCGTTTGATGGATTCCCACTAAACTTATTTTCTACATGTTTTTATGTTGTTATTTTGTTAGCTAACCCCTCCAACCCTGGTTCAAACCCAAGTGGAAGGAGGTTCTACTCTGTTCAAGCTGGGTTTCTTTGGAGAAGAGGTAAGACTTTTATTTGTTCTGTTAGTCCTTGAAATCATTTTTTGTTTTAATCAACAAGAAGTATTCACCACTTCAATTTCTTCCCTCCAACTTTCTGACATTAGACAATTATCTCATCTTGACTCGCTGACCAAGAACGTTGAATTTGTGAGACATTGCAGGGCAAGCACTATGAGCGCCCGGCATGGATGGATACTGTTGCTATACACATAGCTGCCAACCATTTCTATTTGGGACGAATGATTCCTATTTTATTTATTTTTATCGTAAAGCTACTGTTTTGAACCCTAGATTCCTCTTTTTTATAAATAAATATTCTGTGTGAAAAGTATACAAAAAAGACTGTTTTCCTAAATTCAATTTGAGAGATTCCTAATTTTTGCTGTAAAAGGTTTGCAGGTATGCAAACTTGGTTTTGGTAAAGTTTGATTTTGGTTTAGTTTGATGGTTTGTTTTACCTGGCTGCTAAGAAAGCATGTATATGCTTGTATGTAAGTAAGCAACCAGGGAGGGACGGCTTTAAGTCCTCTCTGAGGGACTTGGTAATGAGGTTTAATGCCTTACCAAAGGGCACTAGCGCATTTACTTGAATGGGTTTTGAACCCGGGACCTCCCGGTTACGAGACCACTGCTCCACCACTGAACCATCGCGTCTCCTACAAGAAAACTTTGGTGTGTGTGTTGGGTTTTTACAGACGTGTATCAATCAGATATGAATATTTACGTCTGGGACCGACCTTTAAGCGTCACCATCCGAAAGACGTGACTCAGTTTCGAACCTGAGTCCTCGGCTGAATCACTTTGTAACTTCCACTGTTAGCTGGATTACAGGCACACGCCACAACGCCTTGATCATCCTTTGACTTCTCTTATACCATGCAGGCATACCTGACCCAGTCTTCTCAGCTTTACCTGGAGACTGTACTCCCTTCCATGGGGGATGTGTTCTGCATAGCGCAGTCTTACAGAGCAGAGCAGTCCCGAACACGCAGACATTTAGCTGAGTAAGTGTTTCTATCTAAATACCAGGAACTTGCATCAATTTCTTTTTTGCAAATAATAAAGGCTTTGAAAAAAAATCACTCTCATTAATTGTAATTCTATAAAGAGCATGCGTGAAAATCTTACCAAAATCCGTAGTCTTTCTCCATTTTTTGTGTGGCTGTTTGTTTGTTTAATTGTTTCTTTCTTTCTTTCTCTCTGTTTAATTATTTGGAGAGGGAGCAGGGGATGGTGGTAGAGTGTAGTACTTTCAAGATGAGTTGTCAGATGATCAAAGTTTTGAAAATACTTTTCCAACTGAAATAATCAAATATAAATTATTTTTACATCTTACATTTTTCATCTGCTTTATCTGAATGACAAATGCTCTCTGGATTAAAAGGTAATCCATGATAGATAGGGATCTAATTATTGCTTTGATTCTCACAATTATCAACTCTTGTGCCACTTTAGGGCTCTTTCATTCTTGTTCATTCTCTTTCTTAAAAGAACTATGGGTATTAGCAGGACAGCTGAAAGATGAAGAATTATATTTTATATACTTGGTCTTTGCATCCTTATATTCTTGTATTTGTGAAATGAGAAGAAAACAAAATATTGTAATGCTAATTTGATTTGTTCTGAGCTGTAAACTTACAATAAATTACAGAGTTTGAGTAGTAAAATGTATGTACAGTGAAACCTGTCTATAAAGACCACCCAAGGTAGACAAGAAAAGTGGTCTTTATAGGCAGGTGGTCTTTATATACAGGTTCCTGTAGTTCATGCTTCAATGACAAACCATTTTCAAGGGGAAAAAAATGTCTTTGTAGACAGATGTTCTTGGTATACAGGTGGTTACTAAAGCAAGTTTGACTGTATTTTCCTTTTAGGTATACTCACGTTGAGGCCGAGTGTCCATTTATTACATTTGATGACCTTCTGGACAAGCTTGAGTTCCTGGTGTGTGATGTGGTAGATAGGGCCCTTGCCTCCCCTGTCGGTGATCTTATCATGGAACTTCACCCGGTAAGTGACCCCCCTCTTTCCATCCCCCTCCCACCCCCTCCAATTCCACTGTGAAGAATAGAAGGTACTTGCTTCCCCATGTAGCCAATCTTTTTATGGAATTTCACCCTGTAAATGACCCTCCCTCACTCTATCCCAAACCCCTGCCCCCCCCCCCTGCCCCTCCCATCCCACTGTGAATCATAGAAGGCCTTTGATTCCCATGTAGCTAATGTTGTCATGGAACTTAACCCTGTAAATGCCCCACCCCCTTCAGAGAAGAGAATATTTTAAATAGATGTAAAAGGGTTAAAAGGGCAATTGACTGCCCTGCCCCCCCCTCAAAAAAAATAAATTAAAATATATATAATAATAATAATTCAATAAAATAATATAAATGAATTTGAAGAAAGAAACAAAAAATCATAATAATAGCATAAGGGGTGGATAGGGCCTTTGCTTTGCCTGTAGCCAATATAATTATGGAACTAGGTATCACAGAAGAGCTGCGTTGAGTGGGGACACACAGAGCTCAACCACGCAAATTCTCTCTTTGTGAAGGAAGATTTTCATATCATGGAAAAAATAAATATTATAAAATTATATGTCTCTCGAAAGCTCAGGATTCTGTCTTTCATGTCATGTCATTTTCATCAGAATCCATTAATTACTTACGACACAGTTGCTTGAGATTTACCCTCTAATTCGTATGGTCTCACTTCGTTTGTCGCCATTTTTTTTTAACGGCCGATTTGTATCCCTAGTTTTAGCTCAATTCGCTTGAACGCCATTCGTCTTTGAGTTTTAAAAATCCACTGGTTGGGAAGAGCACATCTTAAGCTTTATTTTCATATAAAAACTGATGGGGGTATGTTTAAAAAAGATCGTGAAAAATCAGAGTGAAAAGTTTGAAACAATTTTTCTATATCAGAAAAACATACTTTTAATTCAATTTTGATACGAGAAGAAAGAGAATTTACTGGAGAATACGATCATGTAAATATTAAGAATGACCGCTAGATGGCGCTAGAGCGCGAATCCGGTTAGTACAGCTGTACTCTGTGTATAATACGCACTGAGCGAGAGTGACTACAGCGAGCAAGCCCCAAGCTTCGCACGCGGACCCGACGGGCAACGTGGCGGCCACGTGTCGCATCACCGCACCCGCCGCTTGCCGTCCCATCAAGATCCGAAACGGCGCATGAATCTGAGGCTTCAAATATCGAAACTGAGGCAGGATTTGCAGCATTTGGCGAACAAATTAGTAAATACATATATATTTCTACGGAATTATTATGCTATCGTAACCTAAACAGATTTTAAAGCGATCACAAGACCAATAATACATGTTTGTGTTTTTCCACTCGCCATGCGAGTGAACTTTGAATTTCAGAGTGACTTTTTAAGAAATTCAAGAACAAACTTGTGTAATCTTTGTCAATTTATAGAGTGAAAATTTAATCAAATTTTGTCAGAAAAAAAATATTTTGTGTGTTTCAATCTGCATCAAATAACTGTAATGACGGCTTTTCTGATCTTTGGATAATAATTATTAAATTCCAATTAAATTCAGGCAGTGTCTTTTCAGTAATCATATCTGATTGATGCACGTCTGTATGAAAACCCAACGACACACACACACACACACTCGGTGATAGCTCGGCGGCTGTGCACCGCCCATACTGGTGTCTCTATTCTCATGTTGTGATTGCGAACCCACGCCAAGGATTTAAAGGGCATTTATTGTTTTCCCAGAGTTTTTAAATTTAAGATAGTGGATTCAATTTATGAATTTCAATTAAAAGGGATTTGTTATTATTTTTGTTTATATAGTAAATAAGTTAGGTAGGCCTAGGGGGGAGGGAGGGTGGTGGGGGTGGGGGGGGGGGGGGGGGGGGGGGGGGGGGGGGGGGGGGTAAGAGGACTTTTTTTTTTTTTTTTGGTCTAAAAAAAATCGTAACGACTCAGCCAACCGCTGAATAAGCAGGGGGGGGGGGGGGATAAGAGGGCACTTTTTGGGGGGGGTCAAGAAATTTTTTTATTTTTCTCCGTTGGGGGGGGGGGGGGGGGGGGGCACGTCCCTGTTTTTCAGTACATTTTGGGGGAATTTAGGGCTGATTTTAACATATTTTTTTGGCCGGGGGGGGGGGGGGGGGGGGGGGGGGTATGTGCCCCTGTGCCCCCCCCCCTCCTGGATCCGCCATTGCCATACTTTCTATTGATGTGCCAAAATTCATTCCCCTACCATTAACGGTTTTCAATTTAGGCAGACTTGAAAACACAAAAAAAAGCTTAAGGGTGCTTTAAAATATGAAGTTTTAAGAGTTTAGAGCCTTTTTCAAATGCCATTTAAAATTAATTTAAATGGATTTGATGGTCCAAACTTACAGAAATGATTAAGCTATATACATACCCCAGATATGCCGAAATTCAGCCCCACTTCATAGACACTCTTAAATCTAGCCATGTTTCAAAACCCATGAAAACTTGTTCCGGCGATGCAAAAATAGCCATTTGTCACACGCATCAAAATGGGCTTCATTTAATTATTTGAAAAATTCCACAAAAAAAAATATTTGTCTAAAGAACCTGGAAAAAAATAGGCATGTAGAAATCCATACAGAGAACAGATTTCTTAAAAAGAAAGGTGATTCATCAATTAATTACAAAATTATGTCACCTTGAAAATGGCTAATTGTCAGTTATAGCCTAATTACGCAAAATTTGACCATTTCGTCTCTTATGTAAGTGGCCGTATTTTCAAAAGTACTTATTCAAATTTGACAAATGAGGTATCAAAACTCCTCTTTCCATGTGCTCTAAAATGAAATTGGCAGGGGAAATGAAATGTAGATACTTTCAAACTTTAGCTGTGATACCTAATGGAACTTGACCAGGCGAGTGACCCCTGCTCCTCCATTTACACCTCAAATGATAATCAAATGAATGTTGTATTTATCTATGATTTGCATAAATCCTTTATATTTATTACTGTATTTGTGATTTTCCTCAAGATTTTGACATATTTCTTTTTTTGTAATTTCACGTGTTCAAACAACCCCACATTGCATTATGATCTAATTTACTTTGTGAGCACTAACTGTGACCTTTGAACATGTCTACTAACAGGGTTTCAAGCCTCCCAAGAGGCCCTTCAAGAGGATGAACTATGCTGATGCCATTGTGTATCTCAAAGAACACGATATCAGGAAGGAGGATGGCACCTTCTATGAATTTGGAGAGGTAAGCAACTGTCTCTGCTAGGAGGGGGCAAACAGAAGTTTTCCTCAAATTCTGGTGTTGATTAGCTGAAGCAGTATAATGCTGTTGAACAATTTTGATGATGTATTGTTTGAAGTGTGTGGCATAGATGTTGTCAAATAAGAGTCAAAACTTTATAACACATTTTTTATTGAAACGTACATCTGTTGTCTGTGCATCATTAGTGCCCTTCAGATGGGCTCATCATTTTATCCATACAGTAATTATTTGTGAAAGTATATTATTATAAGCTTGTGGAAGTAACACATCAAATATGAAAACCAATACAGTGTTGTGTATATTAAACTAATGACAGGGCATATTCTTAATTATGAATGTATTATTTACGCATTGTTATTGGTATTATTGGAATTATTATTTACAACCAATATAGGATTCAATCCTACTGAACAAAACAAACAAAAAATTGTCATCTTCCTGCTTTCCTAACACCAATTTGTATTTTTATTGCAGGATATCCCAGAAGCACCCGAAAGGAAGATGACTGACCAAATCAATGAGGTGAGCACAGAATCCATGTTATTTTTTTTTTACTTTATATTCTGTCAAACCAGAAATTTGGGGGCGCATGACACTTTCGCTAATTTCCAGAGGTGCCCAGATTCGCGGTGAAATGCCGCCAAAGATTTGGGCAATAAAATGCATTGAATGCCAGTATTATACTGTACACTCCATATATTTGTAAAAGTAAGTTGACTCGTATCGGTGCATGTATGTATTTTTCATGGTTGGCAATTTGCATATGTTTAATGCCATAAAAAAGGCCTTCGGCAGCCTTTTCTAATTTTATGTTGATGTAAAGTGTAATACACTTCACATTTAATATCTGATATTACAGACCTCAGTCCTTTGTTGCACGCAGTTGCCGTTCACTTACTTTTAAAACACTACGCAGTTTATTTTCGCCGATTTACCTCGCCACATCTGAACGAGCCTTAATTGTTGTCCATGTTTTTCTTACCTTCAGCCAATTCTGCTATGCCGATTCCCAGCTGCCATCAAGTCCTTCTACATGCCTCGATGCCCTGAGGATGATCGCCTTACAGAGTCCGTGAGTTTTAGCTTTTCATTCCCCACAAATCACTGCAGGAAAGCTTCTTTGACAATTTTGTAATATGGATGATATTTATTTGTGAGTGTTTGCTTAAAATGTGTCCCTAGGAGGGCCTCCGAGGGTCCAAACATGTTAGATTGGTAATTGATAGTTATTCTGCATGTGGATGTTTATGCATGTAATCAACTTACTAAGTGTTAATGGTGAGGTTTTATGAACTGACCCCCCAAAATGATGAATTTGAGGAAACGGTTTTCTTTTTAAGGGTAGATTTATTTATATGTTTTACTGCAACAGTTAAAGTCATTCCATTGAAGACCTCTGAAGAGTGTTGGAAGATGGACCTGGCCTGACAATAGTGTTTTCTTTATCCCATGTTTCTCCTTGACAATTCTAAAACAGTTTTTGAGTGTTAAAAAAAAATGAATGTTTATTCCCAGAGCCCTATTTATCTTGAAAGCATTAAGCTAACAAGTCCTGACAAGAGCTGCACCTTATCCCCAAATCACAGGAACATACTGTATAATGTAATTGTATGAAATAGTCAGTAATATTTTGCCAGTAAAATATTATACAAATGAATCATTTCATTCATATTTTAACAGTATTTTATCAAAAATGAATTTAATGATCGCAGTTTAATGCTGGTGGTTCACTGTGTTTCCCTTTAGGTGGATGTCTTGATCCCGAATGTAGGTGAGATCGTAGGAGGATCGATGAGGACGTGGAATTATGATGAACTAATGGCAGGATATAAACGTGAGGGCATCGACCCCTCTCCGTACTACTGGTACACTGATCAGGTAAATGTCATTTTAGAGCTATATATCTTGGTTCATATATCTGATGCGTGATGTTTGTGTAGTTAAATTGTTTTTCATTTTTTTCCAGCAAAATTAGTCAATGATAATGATTCTAAATCCTGTTAAAGTGACTCTGTAACATTGCCTCAGATTCTGAAACAAAATCCTGGGTTTAGCTCATGCTGCTTTCATATTTATAAACCTTTAGGTCAGTCAGGAACCCCATGACTTTTACAAGCCGATCGCCTTTCTGATTTATCAAGATATTTACGATTGGAAATCAACATTTCATTTTTCGTTTTCCTAACAGTTTTTAAAACACTACAGTCTTGGGGAAATTAAGTATGGTAAAACCGATCACTCAAAGATATTTACTTTTTTGAGGCACTTCATGATCATTTTGAAGCGCAATTTTTTTAGGGCTTCAATATATTACACCATATCACAGACACTGATAACACGTAGGGCCATGCATCTCAGATTCAACATTGTTAAACGGTGCCTATCATAGTTTCATCCTAATCAACCATTTAGAATAAGTTCTTGACAGCTTGCTGTTGCATAACCAGTACTCAACCTTGTGTTTCATTACAGAGGAAGTATGGAAGCTGCCCCCATGGAGGATACGGTCTCGGACTGGAACGTTTCCTGACCTGGCTCATGAACCGTCATCATATCAGGGATGTAGCCTTCTACCCTCGCTTCATGGAGAGGTGTAAACCATAGAGGGCGACACATCAAGGATAACAGAGTATGGAACCTGTGTCGAAGAGACGGAACCTCAATGCAAAGGCCATGACTTCAACATGGGTTAAAGTCAGATCCCAAATGGCTCCACATTTAATTTCTAACACTAATCGATTTCTTAACTGCGATTCCAGGCAATGTGACCTGTACAAGATTAAACTTTTACCATCTTATTTCATCTAAAAAATAAAAAATGTTTGTGATACAACTATTGGCTAATAGTAGTGTTACTTACTTAATCAATAATCAATCGTACTATCAAAGCAATCTTCATTTTTGGAAGAAATATGTGGATAAAAGTCGTTCAGGATGTTGTACAGGATACTTTGCACAGAGTCGCCTATACTTCAACTATAATCTTATACATTTGACTAAATAAAACCTGGAGAAAATGTCACAAGAGCCAATTGACCTCCCAAACATACACCATGTATAAAGCAACTCTGTTTCTTTACCAGTCTGAGAGACAGTTATCTTCTCATAAGATGATGATTAGTACCATTATAATAGGAAATAAACTTTCTTGTGAGTACAAGATGAAAATAGAAATATATGTTAATGTTAGTATTCTCTTCTGATGAATATGATGGGGATTCAATTTCAGAAGTTACCATTTTTTTCATAATGGTGGTCCTTTCACACAGGTTTCATATCTTATCACTTTTGTTATTCTCTTTTTCATTACATCTTTACTTTGCTTAGTAATTTTATTCTCATTCACATTTTACCAATGTGCATGGCCATAACAGCCTTATTCAGGCATTTTTTTTTGGAGAAAAGGGTCCTTAGACGTATAGACTGATAGTCAGAGATGGATAAAATTCTTATTTTTTCTCTGTTATATTTTTCTTTTGTTTTCATTCTAATACATTGATTTGTACTTACCGGGTACCTTTATGCAATAAATTCAATTTTATTTAAGATTGGTATTAACTTTATTTTTTTCAATAAGGCATATGATTGCAAATGTAGGTACAAGTATTGTGTAGTGACATATAACCATTATCACGCTTTTGCTCATAGTTATTAGACAAATGCAAAAGCTCTTGTGCTGAAACGTCAATGTTAAAACCTTGACATATGAATATGATTCAATATAGAAAAATGATTTGTGTATGGTATTCTTCTTATGTAAGAAAACAATTGTGCTTAAAGAGAATTTTGAGTACTGGGCCCCGTTTCTTAAAACTTGTCATCAATGTCAAGTTACAATTACTTTTATAAGCTACTGAAATCCTTGTATTTGTTTGGCTGACAGCAGATCTTTTTTTTTTTTAAAGAATTTCGGCATTTGTTATTGATATGACATTTTATGAAACAGGACTAATTCTCTGAATTCCTAATATCTCATGGATGAAACATTCTCAAGAAGATGGAAACATGGGAAAGTTTCTCAAGTAAAACAGATTATGTCGGCTTAGATCTCTTAGAATTTTCAAAGAAAAAGAATCATGTGATCAACTAAATGCACCAAGAAAAACAAATTTAAACCAATTCCCATGTAAGTGACCAATAATGTGTATTACCTTCAGCAAATTGGGCTAGGAAATAACACTTATGTACCCATTTCTCTCTTGCATATGTCATCATGACAGCTGTGACTCATGCAATTATGTCTGATAGCTATATTTTGCCAGATTCTTTGTCACGCCATTTCAGTTTTCTGTGAATTAATCCTGTATAATCCAACTTTTTTTGGTAATATACCATGAAGTGTGAAAAAAAAAACATTCCGATTTAGGTTTGCCATATTTGGATGTTTTTCTTTCCTGTGCTCTTTGTACCAGGTATGCCTGTAAATGGCTACAGAATCATGTATCAATCTTTTTAGTCTACAGCAACAGCTCCCTTAAAACCTTTTTCTTCTTTTTGTCAATTTCGTCTTATATCTTTCATTTTATAGGAATGAAAGAACCAAACATTCTTCTAAAGACATCATATGTTCTATTTTTTCTTTTCTTTTGGGGTGGAGGTATTGTAAGATGAGAACCTAGTTCTTGTTAGAACCGGTAACTCCTTTTTTTCTGTTTTAGTAGTATGTGGAATAATAATAATAAATGCATTGCATGAAGATTAACAATAAATTATGTGTAAAGTGTAATTATGTTGAGTGGCTGCAAAAGATGTGACCTTGGGTTTTAGACCAAGACGGGAGGAAAAAAAGTAATTTTTACTTCTCATATCACCGTGTAATGAATGTCAAAGCTAGTATGAAATTAAAATTTGATCAAATCTTTTATTCATCCAGCTTTAATCTTGTATGACAAAACAAAAGCCCACTTTCTTCGATTCACGATTTTGAAAGGAAAGTTAGTTTCATCATGTAAAAAGAAATTTTAAAGCAAAGGAAGAAAAGAAACTACACGCAACTTTGAGGACATTTCTTTTAATAAACATTCACTGATATTTTCTCTAAAAAACTACATTTGTAAACATGTATAAATATTTCACAAATAACCACTGATAAACACAATATACATAATATAGATCTGTACACTGTACACTTTACACGTAGTGCTTTTGGGCTACAAGCCCAACTTTACTGTTTTAGGCTTGTTCCTACCAGCAATTGTTTCTTACAATTGCTTAGACTTTGTCAACTGAAGTTTAAATTACAAGAGAAACGGAACTCGTAGAATATTTTCACATGCACATAAAAGCAGTTTGGAATTACAGTACATATTAAAAGCTTAACATTAATTTCAACTAAAAATATGTAATAAAAGATGGTTGTTTGACCCTTGCAAGTATGAACAAAGTCACAAATTAATAATTTAGCTTTTTAGAAAAATTAATAGGGTGCTACACAAAGATACAAATAGTAAGCTTAACTAGAATTACAATTTTTTACTACATATCCTTATTTGATAAATGAAGTTCACAAGCTACAGCTCTGCAATGATTTTAATATCCATGTATGATTAGCAAGTGCAGTAGCGACTATTTTCTAAACCAAATGCATTTATATTTTCTACATGTTGTACAAATATGCTCTTAAATTATTAATTATCAATAAAATATCTTGATTAAATGAATCTAGGGTTTCAATTTCAATCAAAGAGATTTCATATCATTTTTTAAAAAGATGATGAATTAACACATTCAAGTTTTTTAATATTGAAAATATGGTAGTGCCCCTGGAATCACAATACCCTGTGACAATTATCATGGCAGGCAGTAAAGTTCTACATAGTTACAGGTATTTATAAAATAATTGCAGTTCAAAGTATGTATTATGTTCATATTCACTTACTTTGTGCATTGAAATGTCTAAGTTTTCCCAAGCATTTTTTAATATGGCTGAAATGAAGGCAGTGAACCAGTTTGCCTAAAGGCTAAAGGGGCAGAAATCATTTGCAGTTATTGGAAAATGAAAACGAAACCCAAATATAAAAACTTAAAATATACAAGACAAAATTGAAATGCGAGTGTGTCTCCAATATGGCTCCACTTAAGTTCACTTAAGATCATGGCTTGAATTATTCTTTGAATATCACAATGAGAACAAAAATCCTATACTTACAACTTTTGACCTTTGACAGTATAAATGGCAGTCTAACTAGTTCTAAGTTACCTTGCACAATAAGATTACTTGAATGTACCTTTGACATTGATGAGCATCTACTTACAGTCTTTAAAATCTCAAATTTTTCCTTGCTTTTTTGTCATCCTTTCTTAAGATTTTGTAATACTGTTTTACCATAAATCTGATCCATTAATCATCATAAGTTTAGCACAGTTTGATGAAATCACTTAATTTTTCTGGCAGTATTTTCAAACTCTTATGTACTAAAAGGCAAAGGTGACAATGCCCAAGTAAGTTTTGGAAGCACAATTACTTCGTCCATTTATTTATTTGTATATTACTATATCAAAGCTTCATGGGAAATACTGCATTACTTCATTACAAAGCATTATAAACATGTAGGCAGCAATAACACAAACGGTGTGGAACAAAACTGGAACAATTATTGAATAACGTGTTGATCATTATCTTGACGCTCCCACACGTGTTTACACCTACAGGAAATTTTGGTCACTGAATACAATAGAAAGCTTGTTAAACGTTTACCAAATGACACTTCCAATATGTGATGTTAATGTACCTACGACTTATAGATAAACATATGAATGAATATTGAGAAAATTATAGTAAGCACATGAATTTGTTTAATATAGCAGGATACCAGCTGCTCTTATCGATTAACCTGAAAAGGGTTGGACATCTTGGAGACCCATACATTTTGTTTTGCATTGCATGAAGCTAAGGTGATAGGACTAGAATTCAGGCAATTAAAATGGTACCTCTGAACATGACTGTTTAAAAAGAAATCCAGATCCAAGGAAACTTCTTGGTTTCTTAATCTTAGGGTCTGGGCTTGAAGCCTAGACCCCACCATTAACATTGGCCCCACTTCTTCCACCACTACCACCACTTCCCAAACCTCCTTTTCCTCTTCTACTTCCTTTATACCTCTATAAGCTTAAAATTTGACAGAAAAACTATCCAACTCCAGAACCAAGGACAATTCTTGCTTTATTCATCTCAGGTTGTGGGCTTGAAGCCTAGACCAATATCACTGCTACCACTACTAATTCCAAAACCACCTCTTCCTCTTCCTGGTCCTCCACCAATAAAACTTAAGAGTTTAGCCAATAAACTGTCCAATTTTAGGACCAAGGAAACTCCTTGTTTTCTTCATCTTAGGGTCTGGCATGAAGCCTAGAGCACCACCAGCAGCAGCACCAACCCCACCAACCCTACCACCACCACCACCACTCCCTACTCCACCTCCTCTTCCTCTCCCTTTCCCTCCAGCAAACTTGAACTTTGACAGCGCTGGTTTATTACTCATCCCGCTGCCCCCTCCTCCCCCACCGGTGGCAGTCGTCAGCCACCCGGGGCTTACCCCTCCTGAGTAGCCCCCTCCCTGACCACCGGACGCAGCAGCTGTGGAGGCAGCCCGGGCACGCTTGGCCTTGGTGGCGCTCTGGGCGTTGGCCTTGCGTTTGGGAGCTCTGGGCTTCCGGTTGGCACGACTCCGGTCCTTCTTGGTCTTGGAAGCGGACTGGCCTCCTCCTCCTCCTCCATTGTTAAAGTAAGGGGATGTTTCCGGGACAGATGTACCTGAAAAGGCTTCTTCCTCCAGCATATCATCATCTGTAGGTGGAGAAAAGGGAACACAAGCTTGGGATTTTATTAAAATATATATTTACGACTAGTCGGGAACGTGAATGAATGTAAATAGTTCAAAACAGTTTTCTCTATATTCTATATTCTCTACATCCAAGAGAGCTCCACTTATCCCAGTAAAAGCTGGTAGCACAACATATTGACTCATTTTCTTTCCGTTTTTTTTAAATTTTTTTTTTGGGGGGTTATCACTTTTGTTCATCAGAACAGGGGTCATAAAAAAGAAGCTTCAATATCAATTTAAGAGAGTGCTTTTGACAAAGAAAAGAAAAAATTGAAATCAACAATGGCTGTGTGGGGGAGGGGAATCCCTTAAGTTTCCTGTATATAAGAAGCTTACATCACAAATCTCATCACAATTTACACAATTAATGAATACAAGATAAGATTATATATTTTTTCTACAACTTTTTTTCCCTCTTTAAAGCAGACACTATCTTTAAAGCAGACACCATCCCACACACTGGTGGGTTATAGGACACCTGCTCTGGTGGCAATCACTCTGTGTCACTCTTCTACACCATAACAAAATATTCAACATCAAATTCAACACTATACCTTACCCTTACCATATATCCTTGGAAAATAAAAAAAGCCTGGAGCAATCACCCCAGGGGCATATGTTGCATCATCCATCAAGAGGATAGATAGACTTACCAGGTATAAGCTCAGGCAGGTACTTGAACATGACTTGTAAGAAGGATTGGCCCCATCTCTTGGCCTTGGGTTCGGTCACTCCAGTGATATCGAGTAACTCCTCCATGGTGAATGGAGTATTCTCTGTCATCTCCCGCAATGTTGCATCTAGCAATCAAAGAAAGTGAGGTTTGCATCATAAATCAGACATTTCATATTTTTAATTACATTTTGCATGCTTTTGTACAGATGTTTGTAGAAAAACTAGAGGAATATAGGATTCATAACACTAATTTGGACGCACGGAAATAGGAACCACTCGCCTAAAATAGGGATGGTTGGCAGCTATAATAATAATAATAATTTGTTCTTATATAGCATTTTTCAGGACCGCAGGCCCTCTCAAAGTGCTTTACAGATATATATTATTACCCCAGTCATTGGATTCAGGCTTACCCGCACACAATGTATGCACATTCTCCACTCCCCGGGGAGCATTCCAGCCAGGCGTTATATTTACAAGCGCACATTTGCTCATCTTACCACATTAAATTTTGCATCCTACCGGGTACCCATTTAACACCTGGGTTGAGTGTGGCAAATGTAGATTAATGTCTTGCCAAAAATAATTGGTGCTGCGGCGGGACTTGAACCGCAGACCTTGTGATCCACAGTCCGGTGACATATCCACCCCACCACGACACCTCTACAACCTACTTACTCTGAAACTCACAACTCCTATGCCTCAAATGGCACCCTCCTCAGGAATTGAAACTGCCACAAGTAAATAAGTCATATAACTAATTTCTATTGACTTAAAGCCAGTCTGTACTAGTTTGGCCAGAAGGGATTAGACCACCCAGCGTGGTTCACAGACAGGTGGCTATCTCATCAAATCAGCTCTCAATTAACATTAAAAAAAGAGGATCATGGGGGACCAAAGGGCACTGCTTAGGCATTGTTTTCTATATAGAGGGATCAAGTAGCTACAAGTAGTACAGTGGGTCTTTAAACCATCCTGAAGACAAAGTTCATCAGCTTAGTACACAAGGTTTACAACTGCCTGAAGTGTCACTTCAGAAGACTCACCATTGAAGATATTGGCAGTGTTCATGTTGTTCTCAGCAGCCAGAGTCCTGCAAGTGGCTCGTAGATCATCCAGCAGTCTTTGATGGATGTCGTCCCTCTTGGCAGCAGCAGCTACCGATGATACAACGGGTGCTTTACCAGACATGGCACGTGAGGCACGACTCTCCTGCATCCGTAGGTTGACCTAGAAGGAGAACCAATAATAATAGGAACACTAGTGTGATGGTATCATTGAAATAATCCTCAGGTAGATAAAATAATGTATCACTTCCATTTATGAATACCCCCTTGCATTATGGTGACCCAACATGCAATACAAAGTTTGGCCAAGACCCTCAAAGCTACACTTCCCTGCACAAGCTGTTAATTTTATGGCTATTTTGCAGATACTGCTCATACCTGCCAAGTATTGGTAACAACTGTATTTTCTATGTCCCAGCAGAGTAAAAAAGTCAAATAAAAGGAAGCATATTTATAGCATTCTTTGGTAGTCCCCTTACATATCTGCTGCTATTGAAAGCATTATATGCCTAAAGTAGTAGCAACATTTACAGCTCTTTTACAGATAGGTGGCAGATAAGAACAGGACTACTGGAACGTCTCTATGTGCTTCTTGAAATCATCAACTTTCTTCCTGGGCCCTTAGAGCATTATGAGGAACAAACCAGAAAACCCAACTCCTACACCTGTATCTAAAGTGGGAGGTGATGACAAGTGCTTGCCAGAGGATATTGGTGCCATGCTAGGGTTTGAACCTATGTCCTTTTCATCTCCCGTCAAAATCTTATACCACTCAACGATGGCTATGACACCAGGGAAGTGTTTCACAAAGACTAAGATCGACTTTAAGTTGGACTATGGCAGGCTGTTCATGCCACTAGTTCCTCTAAAAATTCCTGGCATTGATTTCTACAGAATTTACATTTTTTGATAGTTCATTATTGAAGGAAAAAATATTATCTAAAGATCATAATTGAGAGACCAATGGTGAGAGCTACCGGTGGCATGAAGGGCCTGCCATAGTTAAGTCCAACTTAAGTCGATCTTTAAGTCTTTGTGAAATGCCCCCCAGAACCCTTGAGAGACTTTGATACATACCTTACATCTTCCGTTGAGCAGATCAAAGGCTTTCTGGCCCGACTTGATATAACAGATAGCCTGCTCATGGGCTCCTACAAACATCTCTTCTCGAAGGTAACCCGCGATGATGAGCTTCCGTATCATCCTCTCGCTGTCCCCTCGTTGGAAGTCTTTCTTCTTGAGGATACCATAGGCTGGACTGCTGTTGTGACCGTTCTGGTTGACCTTGGCTGAGTTGCCACCTGATGGGTCACACATGATAAAACACACATCATGACTGTTTGGAAGGAGCTTACAAATACATATCACCTTCCAAACACTTGAGGTGCAAGATTCTCTAATATAGAGACCTTGGTTATATGAAATTGAGGATTTGAAACTTGCCTGATACGGTATGTAAACTATTTAGTTTTTTTCTGAACAAATATTACTTTTGACCCATGATGTGTTGTTACAGAGTACCTAGAGTGAAATAATTATTTTGAATGCTTTGATTGCCATAATAGCAGCAAGAATAATTGTATCTCAATATCAGAGTACCAGGTGGTTGCTTCAATACATGAAAAGAGAATTGTTACAGGGAACAAATAAACTCCTTTTACAATAATCAGACATAAAAATTCGAAAATTTGCCATTATTGTTATTTGTGACTGCGTCCTCAGATTCTTTTTGGTCAAAGATCATAAAATCTTGTTACCACATCAAAATGTTCATAATATGAACTTGATCCAATTCTTTCTTTTTTTTAAATAAATTAATAGAAATTTCTGAGATTTTCAAAAGTCGTCCAGATTCACACACACACACACAAATCCATCCTCCAAAATAAATGATCTTAATACATTGAAGTCCCAAGTATAAGTACCCATATCTTTGTTGAATACTATTATATCAAGTCTGAGGAAGTCATGTTTTACAAAACTGTCATCAGGGATGCATTCCTCTACAAAACACAACTGATTTTTGGACTCACCCATAAGTACATCCGCATAGTGATTGGCAGTGAACTGATTATTGCCGCGGCGTGGTCCTTTGTACCTCTGCCTGTTGTTAGAAGGCCCGCTCACGTCACCCACAAACCGAACCAGCGACTTGGCCTCCTCAGTCACATCTACATCCACAAATAATGCCTGATTGAAAAGAGATAAATATATTTAAAAATTAGTATCAAGTAAATTATTTCATATAAGAAAGCCCCTTTCTATGATTTATGTTTTGTTTTGGCGCAGGGAAGGGGAAGCCAGAGACTATATTCTGAAAGTTATCACATTTTTATGAAATTATTTTAAATAAAGTTTTTAAAAATTGATTTGCAACTTTTAATTGCTATTTTGCAGATGTCTTCACCACACACAGACAGGTAGGCACATCCATTAACCAATGAATATTTGTAGTGACAACAAATGGGAAATTTTAGATCTAAAATATCTCTTTAAAAAGAGTCAGGACAGAAGCAATACGTACATCTGATTGGCAATTATCACAGGCAGTCTCTCTACGGCGTCTGCATATCGCTCGGTCGTATCCCGTCTCACCAAAGTAGGAGAGCATGATGACCCTACGACAGTCCGCCTTGTTATCGCAGTACTGCACCATGCCATAGAGATTGTCTACGTGGACTTTGGTGGCATTGTAGTTATCACCATTCTCTGTAGAATAAAAAAATGAGTAGACATTAAAGGTATCATCCATAGGGTTTTTGTTAGAACATCATGAAAGTAGCCAAATTATGCATAGATCCATTTACGAATACCATATCCAGTATTTATTTTCATTTTTTTAAATTGAACCTGGTGGAAGCATATCATCTCAAAGAGGAAAAGAGATCCAGAGTGAAAGCTCATGAACATTTCAAGAAAGAAAGGGATAAACATACACATTTTAACGAATTTGCTCAAATGTCTCTTGCAAGTTGTCATAGCTTAAAAAAATTGTTGAAGATTACTGTTCAAAGTAAAAACAGTCACTAATTGTTCTGTAAATCTTCTTATTGATGTCATCCCTTTCTAGACTTCTTCTTAAACTGGCCTAAATAAAAGTAATTCTCTTTCTGAAATACTAAATCAAAAAATATATAATTGGATCTCATTCAGTGTACTCAATATGATTTGCAACAAACAAGTAAAGTTTGAAATCTGACTTGTCAAGTTTCATTCAAAATGCCTGATGTAGTAAAACTTAGTGACACGTGTTGATTGAACTCTTATTACCATATCATCTGCTGAGAGACAGATGGACATTCATACAAATTGTTACATAGAGATTATGCCATTCCGGCTATCAGCAGATAATGCAAAGAACCAATCGAACATACACTCTATAGCAGCGATCTTCAACCTTTCTTCAGTCACAGCAGCCTTTTCAGAAATAAAGAGTTTTGTGTCACCCAAATCCTAAATTCATCACAGAATATTTCTTGTGCATCAGTATGAAACTTGTAAAGGGCACCTTGCTGTTAAATAGAATGATATTTGGGTATCTCATTGCCAAAATATGACGGTATTTAGCCACTTTGCTGCCTGAAATCATCCTATTTCTTAATGATGCATGCAAGCGAGGAATAAGTACACTTTTTATCTTTAAAATGCTATTTCCTTATGAAATTACATACTCTAGAAATTTCTAATATTTGGTGTTTCAAGAAATCGACATTATTTCAAAATAATTTTCTGATGTAACTAAATTTCTCTTGCGGCATCCCTAGAGATGTCTGGTCGCACCCAGGTAGAAAAATGCTGCTCTATAGACGCAATTTTGAGAAGGACCGGTATAATGAACAAAAGACGTCAAAGCAAGACCACAAAACTCACTCTCTATCATACGTCGAAGACGAGTCACATCCTGATAGGAGAAGTAGAGTACGCAGTGCGCTAACCCTCCGTCCCGGCCAGCCCTGCCGGCCTCTTGGTAGTAACCCTCGATGGACTTGGGCATGGAGTAGTGGATCACAAATCTGACGTCCGCCTTGTCGATTCCCATACCGAACGCTATGGTTGCACAGACAACCTGGGGGGAAATCGAGTTCATAAGGAGAGGTTAAGAACACACAGATGGTCAATTCAAACATGACTATTAAAGTTGGACAGTATTTGCTTATCAAGAAGCATGAAAATCAACTTTACATAGAGTATTGTACTTCACTAGCAGCATTCAGAGTATCATAATACATACAATATAATTAAAACCTATAACCACCCCCCCCCCCCCCCCCCCTTCATTTTAAGTACGGATTGGAGCTGACATCATAATTCATCAACGTATCTGGTCTGAAAATGTAATATTGAATGTTGGCTGTTTCTTTTTATAGACCCATTGCCCACAGTAAATAGGTGGCCCTTACATGTATATCAATAGCAACATCATTGGAAATTTGGTAATTTTGTATCAAAACAGGTTAATTTTCAGTACTTTGATGAGCACCTTTGGGTGATTCTTTTTTTCATTGGTTCATTTTTCCAGATTTTTATCACTCTCAGCATCTTCTTCATTTGATGTTGGTTATTTTTAAAATACATATTCCTGAAATAAATAGCATAAGAATACAAAACAACTTCTACAATACCGGTAGGTCAATTATTTTCACACCTGGGCCCCATCTTATAAAGAGTTGATATTAATTGCAGTTTATTTGTGATTGATGTCAATTGCAACTGTGTACATAAGAGATAGGGGACTGTAAAATTATGATAGATCAGAGGACTTGCGATTGATTAGGACCGGTCTTCATAGGACGGGGCCCTGGGGAGCGTTTCACAAAACTTGTCATCAGTGACAAATGACAGTTTTTGTTATAAGCTACTGAAATCCTTGCTTCTGATTGGTTATCAGCAGATTTGTCACTGATTTTTTTCATTTGTTATTGAAAGAAGGCTTTGTGAAACGGGTCCCTGATTGTCATTGCTGTAGAATGCTTTACCTTATATTGGCCATTGATCCATCGGGTCTGAACGGTTGACCGTTCCTTATCACTCTGTCCAGCATGGTACGGAGATGCTTTGATTCCAGCATTGCTCAAATCATCAGCAACCTTCTCACATTCATTCCTGTAGAGTAGTATAGAGCATTGTCTAAAGTTTATATAATGAAATAAGGCATCTTCTCCTTCAGCAGACACAAGGATAAATAACTGAATGAAGTTTAAAAAAAATCACTATTAACAATAGGTAATTTAAACTAAAGCTACATATACATACATGCCAACATTTGAAAATCAGAAATCTGTACAAATTATGCTATTTTCAAAAAAAAGAGGAACAATTCTAACTCTTCTATTCAATACTACAGACAAATTTGTACAGGAAGAGGAACACCTGCATTAAAATGATAATTATCTTCTCCCAAATAGAGGAATGTTCCTCTTTAATCTGAACAGTTGGCATGTATGCATATAGGGCATACAGTACCCTTTTTCTTATTTCTGTTTTTCCACTTCTCTTCTTTTCTATTTTTTTTAAAATAAATATTCTTTTGAATTATTTTTCCCTTTCAGTTGATTCACTCATTGTATTTTAGTTCAATACTAGATGTGTTTCTCAAGATGGACGTCTTCTGTAATTTAGCCTTTTTGTGTTTTTCTTCCACCTAGATGACTACCTACATCCCAAAATCAATGCAAACGGACAAAGACAAAAACAGTTGAGTTCAACAGACATGATGATACTTTGTAAGACTATGTATGATTTTCAGTTTATGTATTGAAGTGAAAGACGGTAAAGGTTACTGTAATAATCTTCTTTATCATCTTACTGCGTTGTCTACCAGGGCCCCCGTTTCATAAAACTTGTTATCTATAACAAATGCTAAATTTCTATGAGCAATTCGATCTCCCAATTATCAAATGCCACGCTTTCAGTAGCCTATAACAGGTATTGTAACTTGTTGTTGATAACAAGTTTTATGAAACAGGGCTCAGATTAAGACACTAATGGGGTGTTGCAAGAAAGTTGCAATCAATTGCAAATCCCCTAAATCGAGCATAAGTCTTGCAATTATTGTAAATTTGCAATTGATCGCAACTCTACTTTCTTGCAATGCCCAATTAAGAGAAAAAGAGGGGGGGGGGGGGGGGAGGAGGGGGGAAGAACAAAACTTAACTTTAACTTAATTCTAATAAAATCCTAGACTAGTGGGGCATTGCAAGAAAATCAAGTTGCAATCTATTGCAAATATCAGTTGCAAATTTGTCAACTTGCAATTAAATTTATTATTCATTATTATTATTATTATTAATCGCAACTTTCTTGCAACACCCCACAAGACATGGTATCTAATCACCCACAAAGAAAAGAGACTTGGTCATACCTGGAAAGACAATAGACGATTCCTGATTTCCCTTTGAATTGTGAGTTAATGAGTTTGGTGATATTCTCTATCATCTTACTGGGCTGCTTCTTCTCCACCCTGAACATCAGGTTACTACGATCAAAGCTGCTTGTTAATCTGTAAAGAGTTCAAGAGGAAACGGCGATCAAAATAAGACGAGTAGGTACGGAGGTACTTTTTCTATCTTCTATGTCATTATATCTACCGGTACACAAAAATACAAAATGGCAGCAATGTTTCATAAGGGCCGTTGTGGCGTGCGCCTGTAATCCAGTTAACAATGGAAGTTACAAACTGATTCAGCCGAGGATGCAGGTTCGAAACCGAGTCACATCTTTCGGATGTTGACGTTAAAGGTCGGTCCCCAGATGCAAATAATCATATCCGATTGATACACGTCTGTCCATTTACACACATACACACATACTTTTTTTCTTATAGAGGTAAAGAAACTGACAACAGATGTAAATATTGCATTATGATGTCTTCTTTGTTTTCTGCATATAATATAACCTTCTTGAATAGCATTCATGGCTCTGGCCATTTGGAGCATTAAGGAATCCATACCACTTACCCATTAACCACACTTGAATCAAAGAAACAACTGGAGATGAAATGCCTCCATTAAGGATGATAGCGTTAGGAAAAGTTTTACTTTAAACTTTCATACTCAAGATTAAAATCATGGTGCTCCTATCGTAAACTTAGATGTTATTTAAAATATTATGGTTAATAGTTCCAGTGAATTTAAAACCAATAAAGTGAAACCTGCTTTAGCGACCACCTTTGCATAAAGGCCACATTTTTATGTTTCCATTGACGATTCTTCCTCATGGAAATCTACACTGTAGGATCCTGTTCATAAGGACAATCTGCCTATAAAGAATATTTTTCATGTTTCCCTTGAGCGGTCTTTATATACAGGTTTCATTGGTAAGCAATGACTCAACACTACTTACACCTGGGGCTTCTTCATCTTGAGTGCGTGCAGAATGTCCGTCTTGACTCTAGGAGTAGCAGTGGCTGTCAGGGCCATCATGGGCACTCCAGGGAACTTCTCACGCAGCTTGCACAAACGTTTGTAATCTGGACGGAAGTCATGACCCCACTGTATAATCGTTTGATGAAGAGAAGAAAGAAAAAATTAAAAGTGGTTCAACATATAGAGTCATACTGAAAATTCCACTGATACATTTTGGAGTTTAAAGCCCCACTGCACTACTTATAGCTACTTGCGCCCTCTATAAAGCAAACAATGCCTAATCGGTGCCTGTTGGTCCCCCATGAGCCCCTTTTTATTATGTTAATTGAGAGCTGATTTGATGAGATAACCACCTATCTGTGACCTTGTAGGGAGGTCTAATCCCCCCTGGACAAACTAGTGCAGACAGGCTTGAAGAAACTGGCATCCAATATACAAACATGCAACTTGCAAGTACGACATCTATTCAAAAGTATGACTCAAAGGATACATAAGGAGCTTTTAACAGTTAATGCCAATGCTTGAACATTCATTTAAACTTGATGTGTTATTCTAAAATCATAGTTTCCTACTGACCTGACTGACACAATGTGCTTCATCAATGACAAACCTGGAGAGTAACCCTCTGGTATAGAGATGCTCCATGGTTGATAGTAGCTTCTGACTGGCACTGATCTGTGTGTCCAAGGAATAGAAAATGCAAAAGGTTCAAAATATTAATTTACATGTTCTCAACAAAAACCTATGAATATCTTAACCTATTGCTGACGAGAACCGGTTGGTTCCTGGATTAAGCTAATAACAATGACAAAATTAATAATCAGAAAGATAACATTACCTCGCTCCATATCATCCCAAGAATATCCAAACAACTACCTCCTAAACTACAACTCGTCAACCACCCACTAAGGACAATTGCCTCCCCCCCCCCCCCATACAAAACAACCTTCTAGTACTCGTAGATAATAACCCACAAGTCAACTATTCCCCTCTAACAGATCCCCCCCCCCCCCTTGGGAATACAAGGATAATTGTCTGGAGGTTAGTTATCCGAAGTTGTTGTAGTTGTCATCATGGTAGTAGTTGTCAGCTGGTAGTTGTCAGCTAGTAGTTGTCAGCATGATAGCAATCTCAGGATGGTTGTGCAGGGGGCAGATACCCAAGAATATATCCAAATCAATATTATTTCCTCCCTCAGAACCTTCCATACTTAATAGAACAAGCAAAAGAATATGAACTGCATAATATAGACAATTAGATGGAGACATGACTGCAAGGGTGGGATTGAATCCTGACCTTTTCTGGAGTGACATACAGCATCTTGACCACAGGGTCTCTCATGCAGAGCTGTCTGTAGATCCCATCGGCAGCAGCACCCGCCATCTCCCCCGATAGATGGGTTGCAGGGATCTCCAGAGAGACCAACCGCTGGACCTGGTCTTGGATGAGAGACTTGAGGGGGGAAATCACGATGGTCACACCCTTGGTCAGTACTCCGGGCAGCTGATAGGTCAAGCTTTTACCTCCACCTGTACAACAGTGATAGAATCACACCAAATGTTTATACAGATAAAGGAGAATGGTAAACATTGCTCAAATACAAATTAGTTAAACGTCAAATCATTTCAACATGGAAGTTAACATGCATCAGGAAAACGTTTTTAAACAGAAACTACAATACTAATAAATTTAAGATAAACTGATGATTGCCAGAATATGATAGTTCAAACTTTTTGTCACCAAAATTATCAAGATGAAAATACATCAAACTACATTTCATAAACTACATGTATAATACAAGACTTCACCATCTTCTACAATCTATTCTACATGCTTATAAATAATAACCTCTGCCTTTCAAAAAAAGTTTTAGGCAGTGTCACTGCATCTGCTGCTCTAGGAGCCCTACTGCACTACTTATAGCTACTTGCGCCCTCTATATAGCATACAATGCCTAATCGGTGCCTGTTGGTCCCCCATAATCCTCTTTTTCTTAAGTTAATTGAGAGCTGATTTGATGAGATAACCACCTGTCAGTGACCTTGCAGGGAGGTCTAATCCCCCCTGGCCAAACTAGTACAGATGGGCTTTAAAATTATTACCTGTTGGCATTAGGATGAAGCAGTCTTCCCCTAGCAAGGCTGCATTGATGGCTTCTAGCTGGTTCTCCCTGAACTGATGAAGTCCAAACGTCTTCCTGAAGACCTTGTGCAGCTCTCTGGAGTGGGGGAAGTTGTAGCCGCTGAAGGGGTTGTCAGAGACCACTTCTGGTGGCATCTCACTCATATCTGACAAGAAAGAAAAAAAACAGGCATTTGGGTATGAAGCTAATTACAGAGTCATCCAAAATTATCACAATTTTTCCCCCCTGTGACGTGAGGTTTATTAAACGAAGGGATTGTCTGAGACCACTTCTTGTAAAATCCGACTCAAATTTGACGAGCATGATGCAAAACATGAAATTTTCATGAAAAAGCAAACCTGCCTATAAAACCTGCTACCTATTACATGTTGATTTCTTTTAAAGAATTTCATATATTTGTAAATTAGGATTTGGATGAAATAGTACAATTTAATTATTAAATGTGCATGTGTAGTAAATGATATCCTGGTGAAGGCTATGCTGTATACATACCTTCACTCATGTTTGATGATGGAATAGCCGTTTGCGAGAGAGCTTGGGTTGCTGTTTGTCGTTTTGTTCCAGAACCCATCATCCCCGGTCTACTGGAGCCATCATCAACAGACCTCTCCTGATCGAAGCTGGACCTACCCCTGATGTCAGGTATACTCTGTGGCGTATCGAACCGACCTGCTCCAAAAGTGCTTGGAGTCTGGAAGCTGGAGGAAGTCCGGCTCTGGTAGCCACTGGAGCCTGGAGTGTCTGTATCGTCAACGCCGAAGAAGCTGTCTCCACCGAGAGGCAAGGGGGAGGAGACACTCCCTGTCCCCCCTCCTGGTTGGTTGGCTCCAGGAGAGGAGTAGCCAGAGGAGGAGGAGCTCATGAAACCTGGGAAACTAGTCCCAGAGGCAGTTCCAGTTCCAGAGAAGTTTGATTGATCCAGTGATGTCCTCTTACTTGATACGCTCCTTGGTGTGACAGTTGAGGATGGGGTTTTGAACTGGAATGAGCTAGCAGCTCCAGAACTCCTCCCCTCATCGCTTGCTTGTTGATACCTTGATTCAAAGTTTCTCTCATGGGAATCATAACCATTTCTATTGCCATATTCCACGGTTGGTGGATCATAATCGAAGGAAGGATCATGAAAGTCACTGGCACTTCGTCCAGTGCTGCTCATAGTTGAGCTGGCAGCGGATAGGCCTGATGGTCCATTGGTGAGCTGTGCCTGTGTAGGTAATGACTTTGACGCGAGTGCTCCATTCTGCTTTTGTCTTGATTGCACTTGCTTCTGTTTGGCCTTCACTCGCTTCCTACATGGTACCAGGTTGAAGGAATTGAGAAACATATCAAACTCGAAAAAAAATTATAGACAGGGTCAATTACACATTACACATTGTGACTCTTAGTACATTTATGCCTAATGACTTTGACCAATCTTATCTCACCCATCATAGAATAAACTTTCAGAGGATTATGTTTGTATCATGCTAATAAATCAATCTGGTACATCCACATGTATACACATAAACCCTGTACCCTAACCCTAACATATTACAGTTCACAGTTGCTTCTTTTCAAAATTTCAAAGACTCTGTACAGACCAAATTTTGGTAAGTTAAACGTCTAAAGTCTGTAAGGGTTTCAGGGTTAGCTCCGATATTATGCTTTAGAAGAAAAAAATCTGCTTCAACTACACATATATGCAAAAGGTGGAGTATATATAGTTCGTGGTCACTTGTATTTGAGAAACACACACAGACTGCACATGCAAACAATTATTGGTAAACTAAACGTCAAAATGTTCAGGGTATGCCTTGACAGGATTCTGTTAAAGAAATAATATGCAAATGACACAATCTGAAGCATCTATAAAGCACATGATACATATGCAAGATATGTTACAACTCATACTCGCTTCCTTTCCGACTATATTCAAAATATATATAGTGTAAAATTGTTTTGCGTTAGCTCACCGTAATACTGATAATTGCTTGAGGGTGGCTAGTTGTGGAGGTGGAACAAGATCTTTGGTAGTTGATTGCAGGGACCTGAGATACACATCCATTGTATTGCAGATCCTGTCCATTACGTCATAGAGCAGGGTATCTAAGGACTGGAGTCTCTCTTGTAACTCATCTGCATTCATCTATATTGTATTAAAATGCAAAAGGAGAATGCTTTCAAAGTCAGACTTCTTACACCAGCTGTTGCTTGAATGATCTTGAATCAAATTCATTTTAGAATCACATGTAAATTCCCATTTTTTTGTTAATGAAAGTTAAAGAATAAGTCAGTTAGCATCAATGTATGACTTTAACTTGCTTCTGAATGGTTAGTCTAATGCCAAACATTGTTTAGCTTGATTCCAGCTATAAAATGCAATGTTCAATTAAAATAAATTGATTTTGTGCACTTGCTCTTTCTTGATTCAACATCATGTGCATTGCATAACAATTTCATTTTTTTCTTCTAAATCTTTAGTCAACAACAACTATTTTGACACAGGGCCTAGTGTAATGATAAGAATTTTTTAGCTTCAACCAACTTCAGTTTTCCCAGCAATGACCCGTAAATTATGTTGAATGCTACAGTATGTTTGTATGCCACTACATTGTGTCACAATAAAATTTGATAATAAAAGCATAGCATGGCAGGTCAAACTCAAGTCTACGGTCTTGTCTCTATTTCTTTTTCTTTCTTTTCTGTTCGTAAAGCCCCACTGTCCTACTTTTAGCTACTTGCTCCCTCTATATAGAAAACTTCCCCAATCGGTGCCTGTTGGTCCCCCATGATCCTGTTTTGCTTATTTTGTTGAGAGCTGAGTTGATGAGATAGCCACTTGTCAATGATCATGCAGGGAGGTCTAATCCCTCCTGGCCAAACTGGTGCAGATAGGCTTTAAGACAACTTTATTTCAATAATTATAAAGACAGAAGAATATTCTAATACCACATCTTATACTATGTACCTGAGCAGTGAGTGGCTTGAGAGCTGGATGCATTGTCAGTGATGATATATCATCAACTTCTACTTCAGCAGGTCTGGTGGTTTGAGGGGGAAAAGAATACATATTTACATTCATACAGAATAAAAATGGAACAAAATAATATATCCTACTGTGATTTATATTACTAATGTATGGGCACACATGTAAAACAAATCTTAAGAGGCACCAGAAGAAGCTCTCAAGGGTCTCTTTCTTTTAGAATGACCCATTTATACATTTGAGAATTAAGCTTTAAACCGAGATAGAAATTATAGCAGTTTAAATTAGTTATATCTCATCCGCCTTATTGAGATACAATTGTCTGACTTTGGAAATTCACAAATTAACAGGAAACAACAGCATTGTATCATTGCAACACTGTATTGAACTAGGAATTGACCTGCAGGAAGTGTCCATGAATGGATAGCAAGACTAAAGACAATTTCAAAATTGAGGGCATAAATAATAATAATAATAATAATAACATTTATAATGCGCACATATCCACCCCAAGAGATGCTCAACGCGCCTAACAAGGTAAATACATTAAAATTAAGAAAGTACATGAGAAGTTACAGAGAACGAAAAAATACAACACAATAGTTCTACAAATGGCTACAACTTTTACTTGGGAATATATGAGCATCTTTCACTTGTAAATATTGTTTTCACCTAGGCAAAGTATATTCATTGAACTAGTTGTAGACACAATACCACATAGTATTCACACATACTGTCGGTACTCCATCAGATAAAAATCTATTGCATACGGGTACTTCACAATCCATACCAGAAAATCTAATAGAAACTCACATTTGGGCCTGTCCTTTATCTTCTGGCTTCTCTTCAAGCTTCACTTCCTGGGATGAAGGTATCGCTATGACGTCCTCCTCCTCCGAGAGCCTCCTCTTAATCTTATGCCTAGCCGGAGGAGTGTGTTGGGTCTGTTTGAAGACTGGAGACGAGGGCGGGGATGGAGAGTCCGGATGAGGGAAGGCATCCTCATCATCCTCAGCCCCATCAGGAGGAGGATGAGAGGTAAAAGAATCCCACTGGATGTCGATATTGAAGTCCGTTGGCGAGGGAGGAGGAGACGGGGACGGTACATCAATGAAGTCATACTGGGTCTCTGCTACAGGTCCTGGTGATGGAGCTGGTTCGTTCTAAAGAACAGATGAAAAAAAATAATCACCATTATTTTCCTCAAAATGCAATGCACTTATAGATGACAAAACAAACACCTAAATCAAATTGATCATATTCATCTGATATAACAACAAGTACATGTACCAATGCAAAAAAAAAAAAAAAATTTAAGTTAAACTATTTTTTTAGACAAATCAAATTCTCTCCAATGAACAAATATTATTTTTGGGTGTCATTAGAAATCAAAATTGATTGAAAAATGATAACTTTTTAGACATTTCCTATGCTTTCAAGGTTGTTACATTTCTTGACAATTGAATTAATTTCAAATGGATACCCTTAAGATTCATGTTTGGATTGGTACTCTAAAAATTTGGTGAAAAATTCCAAAAAAATTGTTATCCTAGAGTAAGACTTCATTATGGCATATATTTAGCTCACAGTAAATAGCATACTTACATCAATACACGTCTCATCACGATCATCAATGATGTCCTCTCTCCCACTTTCATCTGCATATGTATACACTGATAAAAAAATATAAATTGCAAAATTTTTCATTAAAAGGGACTTGCCTTGTACAGATACAATACAGATCAACATTATGACCATCAATAAATGAGATCAGTATAGAATGTAGCATTATAAAAACCGTTGGGAAAAACGATTTTTGAAATATCAAATTCCAATCATAAATATCTTGATAATCGGGCAGGCGATCAGCTTTTTAAACGTCATGGGATTCCTGACTGACCTAAAGGTTTATAATTATGGTTGCAGCCTGAACTAAATCCAGGATTTTGTTTAGAATCTGAGACAAAGATACCCAATCCCTTTAAGCTCACAAAATCATAAGAGACACACTAACCCTCCTCTGGTGGCTGAGTTTGGGACCAGTCTATATGGATGGCATTGTCTTGTTCTTTTAGAAACTCCTCATCACCATCACTGTCGCTATCCAAGATGACAGCTCGATTCTTCTGAGATTTTTTGGCAGAACCTGGAGATTAACAGCAAGCAAGAGAGTAGATATAATTTTCTGTCATTTTCTCTCATGGGAATGAGGTTAAAGTAACATATTACAGTAGTAGTGAGTAGCTTCAATTAAGTATTGAATTGAAATTAACAGAAAAACTATAGGATACTAGGATAGCTCTGAATAAAAGACGTACTACAGCCCTTCATCTCTCACTCATCAGCGTAGAATACGAGAAAGAACGAAAAAGTCAAATTCAAACAATTGAAGAAGGGAATGAAATGGAACAAAGCACACACAAAAATGATTACAAATTCTGAAATATGAGACAACTAAATCTATGCGAATCTCAATTGGCAGTTTGGTCAGTGGATTGTGACATTGGGCCGTATGCATAAAAAGTAGCAATTGCTTGTGCTAGCCTTTTACTTGAATCCGTATGCATAAACATATTAAGCAATTGCTTGCAAGCAAATGCTTTTGCTAGCAAGCACAAGCAATTGCTTGATGTCCGCAAGCAATTGCTTAAAGATCAAGCAATTGCTTAAAAACGTATGCATAAAACGAACATTTTGCTTGTTCTTATAAGCAATTGCTTACGTTTTTTCAAGCTCCGTCATAGCAGCTTGAGCTGTTGCTTAATCGGGACGTTCGCGGTTAAGCATCATGTTTATGCTCGTTAGAGAAAAACCAAAGTTGTACAGGATTAGAATAAATCATGTTGGCAATTTTTTTCATGATTTGTTTTTCATCCATCCTCTTGCCAATACTGGCCATGATCGTGTTCTTTGCCTGCTGTAGAGCTAGGGTTTTCTTTTCCTTTGCTTGCGGCAGCTGACATTTCTCAATCAATATGGGGAATTCTTTGATGATCTCCACCAAATGGGTACTAAGATCTTGGTCAGTTGTATTAATTTTCTCACCATCTGACGCCATGTTCTCACTTGTAGGCCTATCAGATTTAGCGGAAAATTAGACACACGTCTGCCTTACTTGTAAAATCCCTTCAGTACAGTCACGTGTATTATACGTATTTTTCTTGTTAGTGTATTTGGGTGTGCGCTTGTGTGTGCATGTATCGGTGTTTTTTTTTCATTTTGTTCTGAAATATGTCATTCTGGAATGTTATACTGCCATGTCAGGAAAGGCTACCCCACACGCATGACATTTGAATACACTACTAGTATGCGAAACCCGCCTTTGTTCTCCCATGAATGATGTTCGCACCGGCGTGACGTCGCTATTGTTAAGATCGTAAGCAATTGCTTGCTGGAGGCAAGCAAAAGGTTTGAGCACAAGCAAAATGTTATGCATACGGATTTAAGCAATTGCTTGAGCTTGATCTTTTGCTTGACAAGCAATTGCTTGTGCTTGAAGCAATTGCTTGCAAGCAATTGCTACTTTTTATGCATACGGCCCAATTGTCGCAGATAACTCTCCTGTTTGTTGTGTACAAAATATTATTAAATTCTGTTTTTTTCTGCTCAATGCCTCTCCCTGGGGGCATTACTCAATAAATATTATGGTTAGCATATTATTATAGGTCTGCTAAAGAGAAATGATCCACCTGATTCATACATTTTTTTAAAATTTATATTTTGGTCACTTTGAGAGTTGGAACGAAAGAGAAAGTTGACCAGCACTACATCACAGAGGCAATTCTGATTCTGCCAATCTGAAGAGTGCATACATACAGTATAGCGATTACAACTTTTTAAAATTCACAGCTTTCTCATTTGTTGTCCAATTTCAATAAAACTTTCCCCAGTCTACCATTTTGCCTTTTCTGCTTTCCTCTAGAGTAGTTTGCTATCAAGGTTGGATTTCCCTGAAATGAACAAAAATGTGTGTTATATTTACCAATAATATCATCATCACTGTCACTGCCATCTTTCTCTAATGCAGGGTAAGGTTTATCTTTCTCTGCAAAAGGTTTCTTGTTTGATGTCCTTGAAGATTTGGTGGCAGGGGGACTGTCTTGAGGTACAGACTTGCTGCTGTTTGAGTTTGACTGCTTACTCTTAAAGGAAAAGTGCTTCTTGGGAGCTAATGATAATAAGGTAAGAAGTACTGTGAAACCTGAACATAAGACCGATCGAGGGAAACATGAACAGTGGTCTTTATAGGCAGGTGGTCTTTAAGTTCATGTTCCTTTAGTACAGATTTCAATGAGAAACCAATTTCAAGGGAAATAAAAAATATGATCTTTATAGAGAGGTGGACTTTCTATACAGGTTTGACAGTAATAAAGTAACTGCCATGTTGAATGATTTCTTGACAAACCACTAGAGTTTTCACTGAATTCCAATTAATTAGATGGCAGACTAAAAACTTACGGTTACAAAATAAATCTCAGTCTATCAACTCGAACAGACAATTAAGGCACATTGATGTGGTTTAAAATACAAGAATGACTTGTTTTTTAGATATGTGTACACTTATGGTAATTCAGTTCAATGTAAAAACAAACAAAATAAATTCTATTTCATAATCAAATGTTGTCAATAAATGGCATTTTTCTTTTCACTGCACAACGAGATGGGAACTACATGTCCATCTACAACACGATAACGGAATAATGCGACATCATAGTCTGTATACTTACGCATAGTTGGTTCAAGGAAATCAAAGTCCTCATCGTCAGACAAATCAGCCAAGTTAAAGAAGTTTGCGGGAGGAGACATTTTTCTCTTGGCACTGCAGAGGGTGCAGAAATACAATAAAATTTGTTTACTTCATAGTCCAACCCTCCCATAAGTCAACGTGGTAACATTCGTTTAATGACATCACTCATTTTCATAAAATAAGGCAAATCTATTTACTTATATTCTTTAGATAAATGACTTGTAACATATATGTTTATCATAAGGAAAAGAGTTGAATTCTCTCAAAGAAGAATTCATGTCGATGATATGACCAAGATACTACAGTTTGAAATTTGTGACATTACTGAAGACAGAAGACATTACTAGGACAGAAGACAGTACATGTATTTGCATAACAAAATTTTGTTTTCTCTCTTAGGAGTACATTTAATTGCCTACTGGCACATATAACTGCAAGCTATGTTGAGTGCAGCTAGTATTTATACCATTTTGAACAAATGACACAATGCAGGAAGAATTGCAGACCCTGTGCAGAACCAGAAGGCAATCAAAATCATGCTATCCCTGTTGTACATACATTGCCAACATGATATCAAGTTTGAGAGGTATAATGACATTAAAATGGTTCAGCTCTCAAATTTCGAAACTTACTTTGGTGTGAAGGGTTGGACGGATGCCACAGGCTTTCTTCCATGACTGGGTGACGATTTAAGGGAATTGTTGTTCATCACGTTACTGGTTGAAGTCATCAGATTCGTCTGGTCTCTGAATATACCTGGAGCAGATGCCTTATTGCTGATGCTGTTTCCATGGTTACTGTTGCTGTCCTGTTTGACATTTCCTCCTCCTCCTCCTCCTCCTCCTCCTCCTGAACTCTGGTTGCTCGAGTTGGGTTTAAAGAAGTTTTTCAGCGATGTCTGACTTACAGCAGCAGAGGGCGCTGGGTTTGATGCTGGTGGTTTGAACTTTGCACTCCTCGACAGTTTGAAATTGAAGTTTCTGTTGGACAGAATGTTTGCGGGCATAACGGTTAAGAATTTGTCTACTGGTAAATGCTTCACATGTATCTGATTCTGATCACCATGATGCCATGTTTCACATAAACAGGCACTCCAGCAAAGCATAAAGAGTCAATGCTAATGGGTATTGACCTCTAGCACTGCACAACGTGCTAATAGGCAGCATTTGCACCATGAATAGTCAACATACTTATAATACACAAATGCACACAATCATGCTGATGTGGATGATCAGCAAGTTTGACAGTAGACTTACAATTTGAATTTGGAAATTATTCTTTCTAACATTAGTAAGTTGAAAAAAAATTGTATTTCACTGTTATTTAGGTGTCATCAATTGTGACTAAAGTACCGATTTGGAGTGAAATCAGTTGAGTTTTGTACAGTGGTGTTTGAAATGTTGAGAATCATACACAGCCAGGATAGGAATGCAGCTATGTGTGATGAACAGAGGGCTACTTAGTATGAGTCTTCCATATCATTTTGAGACACCATACCATACCCCCCCCCCCCAAAAAAAAGGGATTATCTAATTAGTAATTTTGTTTACACTGATGACTGCGTGGTGACGAAGTAGACAACTTGTACTAGCTGAACTAGAAATATGCTTAGACTCTACAAATACAAGTTAGATTATGATATGAAATTAATGCATTTTTGCTGCAAAATTCAGGAATCAGGATATAGACCTATCTATATCCCAGGGAGACGTAAGTTGGTCTAGCCAGCTGCAATGTCCGTGGTAAGGTCAGCTCTCTATCTGTCTTCATCTACAGTACCATGTCTACAAACCGACTCGGTTGGACCCCGGTTCGAGTGCGAGTCACGACCACGTCTTACCACTTTGACTGTTTGGATGGCGAGTCCTGTCCAATAATAATATCTGATTGATACACGTCTGCACAAAAAAAACCAATTACACACACCCACAGGCACACACACCAATCTACTAAAGATTTATATCTAAACAGAAATAGGGTCTAGGACTAACTTGTTAGGTCTAACCGTCTGGGATGTGGAATCAAGCCCGGCAGCGCGGCGCAGTGCAAACCTGGCCATGCCAAGCCATCCGGCCAGCCGCAATGCCCAAGCCATGCATGACGTACCGGTACAGCGCCAACGGCCAAGTTCCGGCAGGTTTACGTTCCATGCACCGGCCGGCTAGGCCTAGCTCCTAGCGCTAGCCTACACCAATCTCAACGGCAAGTTATATTGATATGTGGACAAAACATCAGATTTAAAACTTACCTATGCGTTGACATCTTCCTAGTGCCTGATATTGCACAATTGACTTTGAAAAATTTGTCATAATATCGTATCTTAGATGGATGAATCTACCGGCCTTCTCAGAGTTTCAATCAAATTTTCGCGCACAGAAATCATGCGCATGCGCATATCAGATATTTGTAATGCACAGAAATCGTGCAAAAGTACAGTCGATCGAGCGGCAAGGCTCTGCATGTGCACTGCATACACGCAGTAGTGGATCCAGGGTGGGGGAATGTGCCCGTGCCCCCCCCCCCCCCTTCCCCCTCCCCCTCCCCTCCCCCACCCCTTGGCAAAAAAAGAGGAAAAACAAAGATGGTAACCACAATTTTACCTTTAAAAAAAGAAGTCGGGCCTCCACCCCTGGAAAACAAGAAAAGTTTTTTAAAAAGTTCTCACTACACCCCCCCGTTGAGCAACAATTACAACAAAAAATATATAGCGCTCATTACCCCCCCCCCCCCCCCGTATTCGCCGGCTGATTCGCCGCTAAATATTTTCTCACGGAATTGGGCCCCCGATCCGGACTCGCGCACCGCCGGCTGGATTCGCCCCTAACTGCATATAATGTTATGAGATTTATATTTCAAATTATTTACAATACGGTATGCCGCCCTTATCGATTTCAAACCCTCTCTATCCTGTTTTCCCTCCCTTCTATCAACTTCATTCTCCATGTCTGATCTATTATCTTTAAATATTCGTCCCGGCCTCTTCGTAATTTTCTTTCTATTTATTTTTCTTTTCCTTATCGAAAAGTTCTGACAACCCGATGAAATAAATAAACAAACAAATAGATAATGCATGAATGAATCCAACAAATAGTCAAATTTGCGTCATCAGGATTTGAAAAGGTTTTCGTCCCTCCATTTTCATAAATTTGCTTCATACAATGGGGGATAAAATTTCTGCTGGGGGCGATGGCAATGTAGTCCTACTAAGATATTTTCAGTTTCATATATTTCTTCTCAAGAGCAGGGCCGTAGCCAGAGTTTAACGTTGGGGGGGGGGGGGGGGGGGGAGGGGGGGGCACATACATGTAATTGATCGACGTCCTGCAGAGGGGTCTAAAAAAGTTCAACCGATCTTGGAAATGTTGTGCCCCCTCCCCCCCCCCCCCCCCCCCCCCCGTGGCTACGGGCCTGCTCAAGAGATCAACAGATACAAATACATATTATATAAATAGACAAATGTATGACAATGTATCAGACGGACGTATTATAAAAAGTGAGGAAGACAGTGTCTCAAAAAGGAATAAACCTTGTCGTAAGAGGCCAACCCTTTTCAGACTAGTTGTTAGGACCCCCCCCCCCCCCCCTCCCCGGCCTGCATCCTTGATCCGCCACTGTTCTCTCTGCCCTCCTCGTCCACTTCTCTCTCTTACTCGCTCTCTTCGAATCGCTGTAGATTGGAATAAAATTCATCATCACAAAACATCACATCACCCAACACACTGGAATATATCTTGCTCGGCGTGTAACTTCGAAAATAAAAAAATACCAAGGGCATCGCTAGAATAAAATTTCTTCCCAGTTCAAGGGGTAGGCTGAGCTCTTTACCCCAAGGCCCTCAATTCCTCCTCCGGTCGATGTCTAAGTGGTCTTCACGGTCATGACAAGAAATATTAGCCCTGTCCCTGAACTTCTCTATTTTCCATGTTTATACGCTAACTCCGTTCCTTTTTCTCTCTTGTTTCCTCTTTCCCTCTCTTTCTATACGTCTCTATTGCCCTCCCATTGCCCTTAAAATCACTACCTCTTCCTCCACAGTGCATATTACTGGGCTAATTATTTCATCACGTACACGACGACAGGTTTCACCGAGTCTCTCTCTCTTATCCCCCAGTGGCGGATCCAGGGGAGGGGCCGGGGGCCGCCCCCCCCCCCCCTTGAGAAAAAAAATCATGTAAAAACACGTGATTTTTACCTTTTGGCGCTCAAGGGGGGTGCAAATTTTTAAATTTTCGAGGACCAAAAAAAAAAAAAAAAAGTGCTCACTACCCTCTCTTCATTTGTTATAATGAGAAACAATTTTTCGAATTCCAAGTCATTGACACCACCGTGTTCACTTACTTCAAGATCGTCGGAGTTTGTTATCAATATTTTTTGTTACAGTTCATGGTGGAAAATTTTAGCACAGAACTAGCACACAGTTTTAGAAATGTTTCATCAATATGAGAATATCAGAAAAATTATTGGACTCATCATCTTTACTGATTTGTCAAAAGACGATGACAGTCATTGTGAAAGAAAATCTATATAGTATGAAACATATTGCTTTTCCATAAAAATATAAAACAGTAAGAATTTGACACATGGAATTAAAAAGGAGAAAATTCCATTCCATGGTTATCTTCAAAGTACTTGAATTTGGAATATTTCTCAGCAAAACCTCCACGTTAAAAGCATTCTTATATACATTCATCCCCGTCAAATCCATCCCGAAATAATACAGTTCCAGAATGTTTTATTATGAGTGTCACAAGGATTGTGGTTGTCTAAGTGGCGATACACACATATAAAAACAATCAATGAAAGAATGAGTTGTAATACGATAGTGTGGATTTTAATTACACAATACAACGAGATGCAACATAAAATCAAGATATTGAGCGTTGACAAATCCCGAAATAATACAGTTCCAGAATGTTTTATTATGAGTCTTCTATTTCATCAAAATAATGTACATGTATTTTGATTTAACGATTATTCAACTACTTAACTACTTGATAAAAATGTATTCATTGCATTGTTGACACATTGTATTTCATATTATAGAATCATAACTCATGACGATTAGAATACGAAATACAAATATCAAAAATACTTTTCAAAATACTGTTATATTCTCTTTCCTTTTCTTTCTTTTTCAAACTTCTCTTGGGGAGACTTTAATCTGCATGTGCCACACTCGGCCAAGGTAAGGTAAAGGAAAAGGCGCTATATCAAATATCTTTTGGATTGGATTGGATTGAGGTAAATGGGTACATAGCAGAAATGAATTCCTTAAAATGCCCGAGCATCATTATAGCTTCCATGTTAACGCTGGGGTAATAGAGACTTTTAGATTCTGCACGACGAGAACGTGGACTGCCCTTTTAAGGCAATGTGACGTCCTTTTAAGGCACTGGCAGTGACGCCACATTGCCTTAAAAGGGCAGTCCACGTTCTCGTCGTGCAGAATCTAAAGTCCCTAATAACAATAGTGTGGAGCGTTAGGATTGTCGAGTTTGACAGACATGAGCGGCGCTATACAGGAACCCACTATATTTATTATTATTATATAATGTTATTACTAGGCCTATATTCACTTAGTTTAAGTGCACAGCTAGAATTTCAGTAGTCCTTCGTGAATCTTTTTCACGTGCTCGCCTGTCAGCAGCGCATAAGTCTTTTGTTTGACATCGATGACGTACATCGTGTCTTCGATGACTCCGATGTCAAATCCTTGTTCGACCAGCTTGGTCTTCTTGTGTTTGAAGGTGCCCGTGATGTCCATTTGGTCCACGACGCGGATAAACTTCGGACAGGCGTAACCCGGAAGAAAGTAGGTCACGTGAATAAAGAGCTCTGCACAATCGAATTGGTGACCTTCTCTGATGACCACTGCTGCCATGTCCGCTCGACCGTCTTGACCTTTAAATAATTATCACAGATAATAATATTTTGATTTTATTTCATTTTATTTTATTTCTGCATTTTTCCGAATACAATAACTGAATAACAAAGAACCTGTAAACATAAGGTATCATACAAAATACGCAAACAATAATATCTTGATGTCAAAATGTGATTTTCATGGAAAATATTACTTGGTGAAAACCGGAGAAGGAAAGGATGGGTAATCCTCTACATAATTTTTCATACCTGGAATTTTCACGCCATAGACATTTGCTTCCAAGATGGCGGGAAATTTGCTTAGAGCCTGGGATACTTCCATGGTAGAGACGTTTTCTCCTTTCCATCTGTCCAAGAACACAAATAAAAATGGATGCAAGGTTTTGATAGGGTTATTGAATGAATATTGAATCTCTCTTACCTCCCCTATATCTTTCTCTTTCTCTTTTTCTCTATCTCACTCTCTCTCTCTCTCTCTCTCTCTCTTTATTTTACACACACTTACAAATTCACTCTCATCTTCACTCTCTCCCTCTCCCTTCTCTATTTCCTACCACTTTCTGTTTATTTCTTTTAAACTTTTAGTTTTCTTCTTCCTCTCCAAAATGATTACACATTCTAGTATTCCTTTATTACCAGGCACGTAGCCACGGTTAAACTTTTTTAGACCCCCCTTTTTTTTTTACTTCGATCGACTACATGCAGGTGCCCCCCCCCCCAAAAAAAAAAAACATCAAACTCTGGCTACGTGCCTGTTTATTACAGGCGAGTCTAAATGTTTATGACAAAAACTATAAAATGACGTCTATCCTATACCCCGTTATTTACATGAATAATTACATATTTGGTAGATTTTTCTTAATACCTGAACGTATCGCCGACGCGGTCCTTGAAATACACATAGCCATCTTCATCTAATCTAAGGAGATCACCAGTATTGAAGTACATGTCGCCACCTCTCTTGACACTGCTCACAATCTTCTGCAGGGTTTTTTCCTCGGAGCCTTTGTAACCGGTGTATGGATTATCTTTGCTGATCTTGGTCAACGCCAGACCTGTCTCACCTGTTATATCAAAGGTAATGCAATATTGTCACCGATATGAATTTCTCAAAATCACGTACTCACAATAATAAATCATCCTATATCAAAATTGAAATTATCGTCCGCGGAGATGCAAAAAGGGCGTTACTCTTTGTTAAAGGATTATGAACGACCTTATGGCGCTCAGATTACATTCTCCCAAGAGGATGAATATTCATGGTCGAATTTCATTTTGAGAAAATGTTTTAAAACAAAGCTTAGTCGAAACAATCTGGCTTAAAATAATTTGTTTAAGTTGAAATGCTGAAAGGCTTTTGTAAAGAACAAAAGTTTTCACCTAGTCATGATAACTTTATAATAATTCTAATAACAGTTTGACAAGCCTGTAAAAGTAGTTGTATTGTTATTAATGAATATATATGAGCATGATCTAAAACAAAAACATAAAGCATCTTTTATGATCGAAGAACAATAATGAAGGTAGAAATTAAGATTTTTTTTTAAATCAGTAAATGTTCACCCGGTACCTTTTGGGAGCTGAATACAGAATCCATCAGCTCCTCGCTTGGGTTCGCCACTCGCGTAATCATAGTCGACGATCTCCAGAGTATCAATGGCGTTCTGGAAAAAGAAAGAGCAAATCAAGTGGGGTATCCAGAGATTAATCAAAAGGGGCGGAATCATCTTCAGAGTGGGGGGGGGGGTGCAGAGAGTATGTACCTGCATGGATATCTCCACAATTTTGAAAAAAAACATTGGGTACAATATTATTTACCGAGCATGAGTTTTATTATGTTTCCGACCAGCTTCGGGCATTTTCTATTTTCCTCAACTTGGGCATTCTACTGTACAAAATAAATTAAATAAATAAAGAATAAATACTTCAATTTGAGAAAAAAATATTACACAAGTTGGATAACCCAAAATGCCCAAAGGTAGCTTGTCACATACTCACCCTCAAATTCATTTCTTTTTACCCAGTACATTTTTTTTCTTTAAAGAGTGATGTTTGTTTGTTTGTTTGTTTGTTTGTTTGTTTGTTTGTTGTTTTTTTTTTTTTTTGGGGGGGGGAGGTTCAATCAGGGTAATATTCCTGTCTCAAAATGCTGATACGCCACAACTGTACCAATTATATCATTCTACGTGAGATTAGTAAACCTAAACATTACTATAATGTTTTGTTTCTGCGTAAACTATATAGCGGCATGAAAAACAAGTGGTTGTTGTTGTTGTTTTTGTTGTTGCTGCTGCTGTTGTTTTATTGTTGTGGTTGACTTTGTTAATATACGCCTATCCTCTAAATCTTATATACTATTAAAAGCGATAAGGGACGAGAAACAAAATAACCATTAAAGTTTCAGAACAAACCAGCATAGTTTATCCTTTAGTCGGTTAAAAAAAACATCAAATCTTAATTAACTCTGACGTGCCAATAAAACAGGGAAATTGATGTAAATGGAGATAATGATATAGGTTCGCTTTTCGTGCAAACATGACTTTAGCAGTTTGATCAATACATGTAGAACATTATACGACACGTGCAATATAGATCGTTCAATATTTACACATTCGCTGGCTCAAAAGCAAGTAAATTCTCAATATGAAATTATGATCTATAATGACTGTCAAGGGGTGGTGACGAAACTGCTCTCGAAGGAAATTGATACATTGACTTTACAATAATGACCATTTGGATGAGATGCTGAGGAAATCCCATTTCTTGTTTTCATGGTGGCTTGGAAAGGGTTGTGGGATTAATTATACAACTAGACGAGTTGGAAGGAGAGAGAGAGAGAGAGAGAGAGAGAGAGAGATGGGGAGAGGAACGAGACGGAGAAGTAGAAGTGATATTAAACAGGAAGAAAGGGGAGAGAAATGGAGGGTGACAGAGACAGTAGAGACAGAGGGGGGGGGGGGAAGAGGATGAGAGAGAGATAGAGAGATAGAGAGAAAGAGGGAGACTTCGAGGTTGAGGAGGAAGAGAGCGAGAGAGTAAGAGTGACAGAGAGAGAGAGAAAGAAAGAGAGATGGTGAAAGAGATGGTTGAAAAGGAGAGATAAATAAATTGGGGAAGTGGGCTAGCAGGGAAGAGGAATCAATGATTTTAATAATTTAAACATCTCGATGATGATAAAATGTTCAATCCCTATGAAACCTTTACATCTGATATACGTTTTAAAAGAAGAATATAGATCGACATGTTCCAATTATGAAGTCATATGAATAACGTATAAACATCAATATGTAATTGTGTTGTTTGTGATTGATGTGAACGAGATACAATCAGGTTATTTTGAGACAAGTTGAATGAGACATTTCGTTCAAGTGGATCATTTTAATGTTCCATTTTTCAATCTCGTGAAAGGGTCAACAAATCATTGCATACCAAATTTATAAACATGAAATATTATGAATAGAGAAAATATAGAATACATGATCACTGTAAATGTCAGATATTCTGTTACTTTCTTGGGCCTATATGCACACGTCTTCTCTTAAAATGACAGGAATAATGAACTTAAGGCTTACCCATAATATTTTGGCCAACATTAGAATTTACTTTTGGCATAATCTAAGAACATTAAACAAACAAACTTTTGGTGCCATGAAAAGAAAACTTATTAGATATCAAGAGAATAAATGATTTAAACAGGAACAACATACATTTAATCGATATTTTGTAGGAAGTGCAGATGCAAAGACTTTCGAAACAACAACAAAACTAAGTCAATCTCAACAGCCTTGAAATGTAACCTTTTCAAATGTGCGAGCAATACAAAGACATCTTGCGTGATCCGAATATGATTAATAAAGACAATGCAATAGGGTAGCGAAATTTGCCCGTGATTTCATTTCTTGAAAGACTTTGCGATCATGCTCCGAATACGTACCTTCATGAACCACGGATATCTGCCCACGGTGCCCACTTTGCCGTCGATGTTGATGAAACCGAAGTTCCCCTCGGTAGCTGCATAGATCTCGAAGATCTTGCCAACTTGAAACCGCTCTTGAAATTCCCGCCAAATCTCCGGACGCAAACCGTTGCCCTGAGAGACCCGGATCTTGCGCGGGTAAACCCCGTCGTCTGGTTTCTGCCAACAGAGAAGGGTCAAAGTCAGGGAAATATGATTAAATTGAATTGATTTATTGTCCACTAAAAATGGAAATTCGTTGCTCACTGGTATTACAAGCAATGTACACAATTTTACAAATCATAAAACATAATACACCCTGTAACATTGCTTGTGAAAGATGCTCATTGCAAAATGGAGTGTTTGGAAGAGGGGGAAATCGGCAGCCCATCGGGTCAAAGTTTGTTTAATTGTGTACATTGCTTTTACATTTCAGCATCAGCTTTTCCGAGGTATACAAAGGAAAATGGCAGGCATTGGTGACTTAGCTGGGGTAGGAAAGATATTTTGCGATAATGAATTGAGAACTCATACTTTATTCATCATTATTCACTAAGGTTTATCACACTATTCTGATATCATTTAATCAATAGATCCATTTTCGCCAAATATAATAAGCACCGATCTTGATCAGTGTCACCACTCAAAATTAATCAAGTAGTATTCCCTTATTTTACCTTAGGCTGGGCGAGAAGATATCGACACAGCTCACCGATGTAATGGAATCCCGTAGCTCTATACTTTCTGATATCATCCCAAAAACGTGATGCAGAGAACTTCTTTGCTATGGCAACGGTTCCTCCTGGAAGATTGAGAGAAGGAAACATAGGGTGGCGTATTTATGATATTTGCAGAATAAATTAACAGAAACAAAAACTGGAAATGTACTTTTTAGAACGTGTGTTTATAGTTCTATAACCGTTAATCCTATAATGCTCTTATTTTGAAGAAATACAACTGACATTAACTTTAGTCAACATTCCTTCAAATTACATGTGAGCATAACTGCTACTAAGATTTCATCTATTCTGAATTCTGTGTACTTTGAGTTAGGTTTTCTATGCAAGAGAAACCAGATGCAAAGTTTGCCGATCCAAGTGACTAGGTAATCAAACATTGCCTTTCCAAAGGGCACTCGCGCATTTACAGAGTTTCGAACCATGAACCTACCAGTTCCAAGACCACAACCACCGAACCACCACGCTTCTTAATCATCACTTACCGTAATACCATATTGAGAAGGTGCCCTGTAGCAGAGCGGCAGAGTGGTACATTGACAGAGATTCGAACCCTGAACCTACCCCTTCCGTGACCACAACCATCGAACCACCACGCTTTTTAATCACCACTTACCGTAATACCATATTGAGAAGGTGCCCTGGAGCAGAGCGGCGGAGTGGTACATTGGTAGAGCGATGTAATACACATCATCGGGGGTCAGGTAGGAGAAGAAGTGGAGGTAGGTCGCTCGGATGATTTTCCGATGGAGCACGTTCACTGGCTTCGGCATTCCTGATGAGATAATTGGATTTATGAGAGGATAGTGAGGGGTGAGATGGTAGGATTACACAAGATATATTGGTAAAATAACGGATAAAACTAAACGAATGTTTCGTATATAGTTTATTCATTCATTTCATTTTTGTCGCAGGGCCCTAGTTTTACAAGCACTTTCTTGAAAGGGCAAGATGTTAAAATAAATCTTTCAAATAAAAATGAATAAATAAATGTTACTTCCAAGCTCGAGCTAAGATGAAATACAGTTCAAACTATTAGATATTCTAAATTTTAAAACTGATTTCTGACTATTTTTATATCCTTAAATGTACATCCAACGCAATAATTGAGAGATTTAATTCGTTAAAGCGATTCATACACCGACATTCGGCTGAAGAGCATTTACACTCTTCTCCAACGGAAAATTGGACTTCTTAATTTTGTTACGATTCTCTAAACGACAATATTATTTAATAAAGCAGATAATATAATAAATGATACCCTTTGTGGAGGTCAGTGTAGATCATGTTTTATTTAAAGAGTGATATTTGTAACTTTTCTCTAATCTCTCTAATATTCAAACATACCCGTTGTCCCCGACGTAAAGATGAAGATAGCCATGTCAGTGAGTTTGTGAGCATCTCTTGAATATGGTTGACCTGAGAGCTTCGATATATCCATGGTAACCACATCCGATGGGACAGTGGGGTCCGCCATCTTGGTATCATTGATCATCCAGGCTTCGATGTTCAGGCCGATCAGCTCGGGGAGGATTTCTTTGATCACGGGCCATAGTTCTACCGAATCAAGAACCATGAAGTCGGGTTACAGCACCGTTATGTTAGCATCATTTTACTTTACTGGAGTAATATAATCAACCACCATCACATTAAATGGCAACTCAATTTGCTTTATGTGGCGCATTTGGGTTGTTTGAAATTGACTGGTCAAAGATAGAGAACATCATCTTTAAAAGGAAAAGGGGTAACATAGTTCAACACTCTGAAAGGAATGGGAAATTACTTCTTGAGATCAAGAAATAAGTCTTAAGAGCGGAGTACATTTTTTAATGGTATAACCGAATGGAGACTGGTTTATTTCCTATTTTAGCTGTCCATGAGTCTAATTACAAGTTATCTAGGCTGTAGTCTTTAATGGTTAAATTACATCACAGTATTAATAGGTTTTTTTTATTTCATACATAATATATGAATGAATTAAAGATTTATAGCTCACTCTGCTAATTCATTATCGCCGTTGTTATTTAGAAGCCTCCCCCAAACTAAAAAAATAAAAAATAAATAAAAACATAAATAGCGTTCTCACCGGCCCCAAAGATGACTTTCTTAGCCTCGCTGACCTGCAAGCAATGCAGGAGGGCGGCTGATTTAAGATTGGTGTTCAGAAGACTCGCTACGATTCCCGCCTTCATCAGCCCCATGCACGTCCAGGCAAACACCGGACCATTGTGAAGCAAGATACATATGGCCTCTCCTTTCTGAAGACTAGGATCGGTGTCCATCACCCAGCGGGCCACCTGATTAGCATAGCCGTCGACTTCGGCGTAGGTGTATACCTCATCCTCGTACAGGATGCAAGGGTGCTCGGGTTGCTTGAAGACGTGGTCATCAAAGACATCGAGGATAGTCTCCCCCGACCTCATCTTGTTCTTGATGGAGTAATCCCATTTGACGAGCTTTATGAAGTAGAACAAGTCGCTCCACCAGATCGGGTAGTTGATACGGAGCCAGGCGTAGCAGGCGGCAAGAGTTACAGCGATGGTGGTGAGCAGGAGATACACGATGTCTTGTCCTGTGAAGTGTGTGTGTCCAACGTCTTCAGAATTGTTGTTGGATCGGATCCAGTAGTATCCTATGACTACAGAGAGCAATGCCGTGAGCGAAGCAGAACGACCAAGTCCCCAAAACCCTGCGGAAGGCATTGTTTCCACAATGATTTTTATGAACTCTTTCTGTTATACACGACTACCAAACGAAATACATGTACTTCCGAAACCCTACAGAATACTATAAATGAGAATGTATACACTGTGAAAACATTGAAGCTGATAATCGGTCTTCAGCTATCTGAAGTACTTTGTGCTCAGATAAGAGCGGGGATTCACCATGCACGACCTAATGACCTATTATAATAATCGACCTTTAGACATGCATGTCAACATACAGAATGAAACATCCGATTGCGTAATATTTACACCCCTCAACCCCCCTCTGTTTTCATCTTCATTTTGCTGTACACAATATCATTTCAATAACGGTGTGATTCATCGCATCGCAGTGCAAAGGCTGAGTTTTACAATTTTACAATATTTTCAGAACGGTAAAACATGACGTAACCAACACAATATTAAGCAAAACATTACACATTAGGGGAATCAATAAACTATATATTCAATAATTTTCCTTTTTTTCTTCTTTTTAGGTTGATACATTATTATCAGTCAATGTAATAGATAACGTCGTTATCAACACTGACGCATACAGCCTTATTACATAGAATTGTACTGAATATCAACAAAACCATGTTGATTGAGGTAGCATAGTGCTTTCGTGATAAATCATTCCCATCGAGTAGGTTAAAATTATCTTAATAAATACACAAACAACTACATGCATTATAGTGCGGGGATGATTGTTTCTGTATTCTTTCACTTAGACTATGGACAATTTTTTTAAATTTACAAATTAAACATTATGCCTCTAGATAACTCCAAAAATGTTTGGCAATGGTAAATATCGCTGAAATCTATGCTAATATGGTATATCATTAAAATTTCAAATATTACAAGTATACACATTATGAGGAGACTTTTAAAACTTTCGATACAAAAGTTAGATTACCCGCGCTTTGATAAGTTAAGAGTTATTTTGGAAGGGTAATTAATTTTGTTACAAGAATGCACTACCTTTGGGAACGTACAAAATGAATACAGAATCTGGACAAAATATATGCCCCCGACCCCTTTCTCTCTCTTTCTGCATGTCTCTCTTTTCTTCTCTGTCTTTCTTCTCTCTCTCTCTCTCTCTCTCTCTCTCTCTCTCTCTTTCTCACTTGTATACTATACCCAACCCCTCCCTCTCTCTATCTCTTGGCCGTCTCTGTCTCTCCTTTCTATTTCCAATATTAAAAACCACCTACCAAGGACGTACGATGGACTCTTGTGACGTTCAAAGCGTCTACTTATTATTATAGTACCTGCACATTTACTTATTCTTTCCAGCATTTCAAGTTCAAGTGAAAACGGACACTCGCTACCAACAAAGTTGGTAAATACTCCGTGTATTCAAATCTTTCAATAGCTCAGCATGATATGGGGCTATTCAGAACTCGGTGGGTATAGAAATCCAATGCGAAGGTTGGACATACAATTATTTACACAATGAAGAAAGAAAGTTATGCGGTCATCAAATAGTTAGGGTCGGAATGACGAAATGAATTGAAAATTTGCTTGACTGATATTTTCCTATCTAAACATTGCTCGGGATTAGCCTTAGATAGGCCTTAAGCATTTGTCGAGCCCTCTACCCCGACCCCATATTATTGTACCCTACTACAGTACAGTAGTAGGGTACAATATCATAATTCCGTGTACTGTGATTGTTATTTTTCATATGTGCTTTGATCTACTTCATGTTTTTGTTCTTACTTTAACAATTTGATGTCGTTTGTTACTGTCATCTTCTAAATTCCTTTTTGCCCGTTTTCGATTTGTTTTTGATGAGTTATGCGGACATTAAACGAGTACCTTACCTTATCCTATCGTGTAAGATGTAAGATCACACAAATGCCTACACGAATATTGGGATACGAATGATAACTAAAACAATGTAACGGTCAAAGTTACAATATCCCTTTTCACACCCTTATCTTTAGTTCTGCGGTTCCTTTATCGCTTCCTTAATCACTCATACTTCCCTTATTTTTGTCAAACCGATCTCCCATTATTTTATAGCAGTAAAGAATGATGTCCAACAATAAAGCCTGCATGACCTGCAAAGCAGAAGTACAGGATGATGATTACACGCTGGAAAGAAACGAGAAATAAGGAGATGTAACTACTTAAATTCCTAATATCCTTCATTGTCAAAAATGATAGAAACCGAGAACCTCTATATACTGAAATTATTGTAACCTTTATTTTAACTCGCCTTAAATGAAGCGGAACAGCAGACATATTTATAGAACGCGATTTTCTATTCAACGAAGAAAAATCGCTTTGTGATTTATTTAGAGGTCGCGGTTGTATACTTCAGAAATTGCTTTGACTAATCAGTGCTTGCGAAGTAACCTGATACGGGTACTTCGCTCAAATTGCTCTTGCAAATTTCACCGTATATACCTGCGTTTGTTTTAATTAATTGGGCGATTGTAGAGTATACCACGGCGGGGGAAACAACCATTATACTGTAATTACAGACAGTAATTTTTATTCTCTAAAATGGTGGCCTAATGAGGCTAACAAATTGTAGTTTCGTCGGATCGAATCATTGCGAAAAATAGATAAACTGATGAAGAACTTACTGTATTGATCGGGCAGTGGCAGCCAGTGACAGGCAGAACTGTGCATGACGAAATCCGAATTTTGGTCAAAGCGAAGAAGCAAGCTACTAGACTGGTAACGACAAAAACGTAAAATAAGGTAAGTTATGCGATGATCGTTACTTAAAATATTGAATAACAAATAAAATGAGACTGGGCTGAAGGTCATGTAGCCTAGAACCATGATATTTGTTATTGCATTGAGGGAAAGAAGGCATAACGCTATTTCTCAGAACTGCATTTGTATCTCCACACTTGTTCCTCTATATAGCTCCGCATATCGCTACTAACCCTTTTCTTTTCCTACCTTTCATAAACTTTGTTCCTTATATATACTTTTGTTTCGCTTTCCTTTCCGGTTTCACTTCATAACAATGTTTTCTTGCGTATCTGTATATTTTCTCCTTATCATAATCATACAATGCTGAATATAAATTCCATTTCTCCGTTGCATTGTTGTACACCAAAATCCATAATAGCGTAGATTCACAGGGAAAGACAAAGCAAGGAATTCGAGGTTGATATAATTATAATCTGAGATATACACTGTCGCTCATATAGTTGGAATTTTTTTTTTTTTACCCCAATTTATGGAATTATTTTGACAATGATTTATTCCTAATAGATCTAGATAATAGTATACATTCTCATATTTTATTAATAATTTGCCAGTGTTTGTTTTGCGTGAAGGTAAAAGCACTGTGTATGCTACTATGCTAATCAACTAGGGGACCTACGTTCTTAAGTCATAACTGACAGTAATGAGGATAATGGGTGTGGGGAGCTTGGGGTTCTTGCATTAATTTTCTACATGAACATCGCTTAAACTTATTATTTAAAAATTGGGAAAATGGGCGGGGAAAGGGGCTTGAGCCTTAAACCCCCAATAGAACTGCTACTGAGTGAGATATGAAGTTATCATCACTACCCCCTTCTCTCCCCCCCCTCTCTCTCTCTCTCTTTCTCTCTCTCTCTCTCTCACACACTTTTTCTCTATCTCTCTCATTATTATCACCTTTATTATTATTATCACCTTTATTATCATCATTATTATCATTATTATTATCATTATTAGGCCTATTATAATCATTATTATTATTTCAACCTTTTCAGGCATGAGAGTATAATGTATACACATATGTACTTTCATATAATACTTGAATAATATAAACAAGCGAAGTATACTAACGTTTTTTTGTTTCATTTCGTTTTATTTCGTTTGTTTCGTTTCGTATGTTTTTGAATACTTTATTTATGTTTTTATTTCTATACTTTATTTTTGTTTTTGTTTTTGTTATCGTTTTGTTTTAACTAGCAAATCCCTTTGGAAGTTAATAGCCTTGTCCAAATGCAAGAGAGATTCGAAATAATACGAAAATATTTACCATAGGAGCGGACTATGAAAAATATTTATTGCATAAGGCCCATCTAATTTATCACGTGTTGCAATATATGAAAATATGATTCTTTTAGTGGGTGGTATAACTATTCTTAGTCACAAACTAGTTTCGAACACAGACACGCAAGAAATGATACTAATTTTGTCTTTATATTGGATTTATGAAAAAGGCTATTCAGGGTCCCGTCGATTAATTACACGATTGCAACTAAAAAATCGATTAGCGGCGTAAGAAATACCAGGCCTTCAAACTGGCAAATGAATATTTGCCCGACCAAGTTTAATACTCATCAAGCATTTATCCCATGTCGGTCAACAATGGAACCATTTTAATTCATCATCAAATTGTGTAAATATAACAGAATTGATCAAGGCCTTAGCGCTTCCACTTAGTTAGGTTCGAACGGGACAGAGAGAATACAAATGGAGTCAGCCTGTTACCATGGTAGCTTAGACCAACTTGGAGCCTCCGGCATAAAATGTAGCTCGCGCAAAGGGGATTTGCATACTTAATGAATATTACTGAGCTTAAGTACACCAATTTGCCTCTTTCATGATTTGCTGCGTGTCTGAATAATTTTCTCCCTTGTGCCCTCGACACAGTGTGATAAGCTATACATTCATTTCTTCTTCTTCTTCTCTCAAAATCATAATAACAAGGGATTAAAATGGGGGACCCTTTGTTTCCTTGTGAGAAAGCGCTGATGTTTTGAAATTCAATGATCAGAAATAATAATAACCATAATAATTCGCAAATAAAATTCATGTAAAGTTGCTCGTTGTTTCTACGGCAAATGCTCCGGCAACGTTTTATTTCTAGCGCTCACCAAAACTTCATCCCTAGAACCAACACTGAATATCTCTACACCTAACCAAAATACTTACCCTAAACTATGGTGGCCGGGAAGTGACATCGTGAATCGTGAAATCGCGAATAATTCACGACGGAATTCGCGGCGAAATTCACGACGTCGCATATTAAGTGAATTGTTCGCTATTTCATGATTCGCGATGTCCCTTCTGGGCCACCATACATATTTAGTTTTAGGGCGACAATGGTCACAAGTTACTAATCGCCAA